GCCACGCGAGTGGCAACATCCGCAGTGCATCGGCTGCATCGGCAACGCGCTCTTGGGTTGCATTGGCACTGCATCGTAAGGGAGGGCGAGTGGCCAGCGGCACTCCGGGCACCTCGGGTGTGAACGCATGGAACCCATGACCCACTGCATCCACGCAGGTGCAGAGAGGTCGCGCTGCTGGGCTGCATGGGCTCGCACTCCTGGCTGCTCGCAATCTGGCGGCTCGCACTCCTGAGCTGCATCGGCTCGATGTTGGGATAAAGTCTCGAGCGAAACGGCCCCGTCTCTACGAGTCGAGATCACATCGGATGGATGATGATTTCTCAAGCGAAACGTGTCCTTCAGGATCTGTCTCGAACTGGTGAGCACGATGGCCTTAATGCTGTCCGGAGGTGTCACGTGAAGACCAACTCTATCTCGTCCCCCCTCTCTCTGGACTCCCTAAGAATCCATCGTAATCCCAGGAACCTCTTGGGAATCCGAAACGATCCATGGGAATCCACCGGAGTCCTCAAGAATCCCTGAGGGTCCGTGGGCGTATCCATCAAATCATAGAGAACCTTCGGAATCCCAAAGGACCCATACGAATCTGCAAAAACATTTGGGAACCCGTAGGAATGCTCGGAAACCAAAGGGACCCTGTAGGAATACATAGGTACCTGAGCGCTGCACTGGCACGGGAAGAGCCCATTTTATCTGTCGGAGCAGATGGGATCCGGAGAAAGGGAACTGCCACAACTCTGAGACGGTGAGCCACTTGCGAGACCCGCATCGAGCGAGAGAGCCCTCAGAGTTGTCACGGAGCGCTCCCAGCAAAGATGCAGGCCTGAGAAATAGAACAGGGCAGGGAGGGTGGGCCACATGACTATGACGATGCAAGCGACCCATCGTATGCCTCCCCGCTCCCGCTTCTGGCTAGCAAAGGTAACAACATCAAGATTGGCAGTACCTGAGCGCTGCACTGGCACGGGTAGATGGGATCCAGAGGAAGAGAACTGCCACAACTCTGAGACGGTGAGCCACCTGCAAGACCCGCATCGAGCGAGAGAGCACCCAGAGTTGTTACGGAGCGCTCCCAGCAAAGATGCAGGCCTGAGAAATAGAACAGGGCAGGGAGGGTGGGCCACATGATTATGACGATGCAAGCGACCCATCGTATGCCTCCCCGCTCCCGCTTCTGGCTAGCAAAGATAACAACATCAAGATTGGCAGTACCTGAGCGCTGCACTGGCACGGGTAGATGGGATCCAGAGGAAGAGAACTGCCACAACTCTGAGACGGTGAGCCACTTGCAAGACCCGCATCGAGCGAGAGAGCACCCAGAGTTGTCACGGAGCGTTCCCAGCAAAGATACAGGCCCATAGCCCATAAGAATGGAACGTGGGGCAGGGTGGGTGGGTACACACAAATGGCGTCAGCGTACAAACGGCGTTAGCCTCCCGGCTGGATCAGCGAAGCTGCTCGAGATAAAAATACAGACCGGAGAACTTTAGGCATCAGCTGGCGTGCCTCAGCGGAGGCGAAGCAGCACAGGCAGCTTGTGGAGCAGGGCCGTGCCGTGCTTCTGCTGTCGCAGCACGCGGCCCTGATTGGCGTAGTCCTTGACACTGGCCTTCGCCTCCCAGCGGCCGCGCTCCTGGATCTGCGCCAGGGTGCGGTGGTTGTGCAGCGCGTCCTCGCCGGGGCCCCCGTGGCGCAGCATGTGCGGTGTCAGCCGCAGGGGCTCCAGGCCGGCCTCGGCCGCGGCGCCGCCGAAGAGCCGCTGAGGCGCCCGCCGCCTGCAGGAGCACCTCCATCAGGCGGCGGAGGTACGCGCGGCCGGCCCGCGCCGAGATCTCGTCGTGGACCAGGACCGCGTCGTCGCACTTGCCGGTCTTGGCCGGCGCCATCGCGGAGCCCTCCTCGCCCTTCGAGCGAGGGGCGGCGGGAGCGATGGTGATCGCCAAGGGTCCGCGGGCTGCGACGTCGGCAACGTCGGCGCGCCTGATGTTCAGCACCTCCGAGGGCCGGAAGTTGGCGCCCTGCATCAGGACGGCGGCGCGTGCCGCTGCCAGCCCGTCGGCGCCGCGCTTCGCCAGCTGCTCGACGGTGAGTGCGAGAGCGATCCAAGGACAAGGATCGCGAGCCACCTCGGGTTCCTCCTTGAGGCGAGACGCCCTTGCCGCCGAAGCTGAGGTTGAGGCTGAAGGCCACAGCGGCCAACATCATGCGGCCCGAGCTGATGGCCTCGCCCTCGAAGTGCAGCTCGGTGACGAACGCCTCGAGGATGGCGTCGAGCGTGTTCAGGTCGGTCGGCAGCGTGCGGCCGTGGAAGCGGACCGCCCGCTGGCGCCAGCTCTCGTAGACGGCCGCTGTCTTCGGCGAGACGCTCTTGCTCTTGAGGTGCTGCTGCCGTGTCGCCACAGGCCTTGGCTGCGCCCGCGGCAGGCGCGTCGCGGCGCCTGCTGGCCCGAGCCGCGCGGGCCGCCTTCTTGGGGGGACGCATCGCTGGCGGCCGTGCCTTGGCCCGCCGCGGGCGCCCGCGGCGTGGCCCGGCGGTGGTCGCGTCCTCCCCAGGATCGGGCCCCCAAGGGCAACTCTCGGTGGCCGTCGGACGGGAGGACGTCGAGGTGGGGCCCGACAGTGGCGGTGTCGACTCCTGCGGCCCGGAGTAGCGCAGCGCGCCGTTGACCGCGTCCCACTGCATATCCGTCCTCGGCGCCTCCGAGCCGCGAGCCGCGAGGAGCTGCCGAGGCGGCAATGGCGGCCCAGGCTCGGCACAGGCCGGGCGGGTAGGCCCCAGCCAGAGTGGTGCGCCAAACCGCTCGAGCCTGCGAGGCGGCGGCTGGCTGGGTCGAGGGAGCAACATAGACCTTTCCCTCCAGGATGTCGTGATAGCGGTTCCCCCGACACACCCGATGGGGCCCACTGACTGAGACCAGGGAGTGTGCCCAGGAGGCCGGTAGGCCTGAGGTAGCGAGCTCCGAACTCGCACATGTCCAGACGGACGAAGACGGACTGAGGTGAGGCAGCTTGAGCAGCGGACGAACGAGCTCATGTTCCCACAGGCGTGAACTTAGCGGGTTCTCCAGTGTCCAGAAGATGCCAAGCCGCTGACACAAATTGATCTGCCTTCGGGCGATGCGGACGTCGAGAGCTGCCCGCCGAGCGTCGGCGGAGGAGAGGTCCGTGTCGTGCTGTGCTTCTCGTAGTACAAGGCGTCCCAAGATGCACCCACCAGACGGCCCCGTCACGTAGCCAGCCCTCCAGGACCCGAAGCGTTCTCCAGGAGTGCAGGTCGAAGTAGGGGGCCCGTTCGAGATCCACAGGAGGCAGTGCTCGAAGCCCAGAGCCCACGAGAGCCGATGAAAGCCTGCTGGTGCCCGAGTAGACCTGCAGGAACGCCCGAGCCCGTTGCGCGGTGCGAGGTGCGCGTGGAGGAGGAGGGCGCTCGAACAGGCGACGGCGCGCGCCCGTCACCGGCTCAGGAAGCGGCTGCGCCGCCGCGTGCAGCCGCGGCGGCAGGCGCGTCCGCCTCGAAGAAGTAGAGTACGTAGCAGTCTTGCCGTCGCCAGCGCGGCCGCGGGGCGGCCGCGGCGCCCAAAAGCCCAGCCGCTGCGGTGAGCCGCCGTCAGCCGACTTGGCGAACAGCAGCGGGTGCAGCAGCAGGACCCGACGGGGCGCGGGGGCCGGCCAGGGCTCGCCGGCCTCGGGCCCTCCTGGGGCGAGCGGCGGCGGGCGGCTCCACTCGGCGGCGTCCAGGGCGAGGCGGCAGGCGCGAGTAGCGCCCAAGATAGCCTGGCCCGGGCCGACCTCCCCGCGGTCGGCCGCCCGCGAGTCGCAGTCCGCGCAGTTGCGGGCGCTCTCGATGTAGCGCAGGTGCCGAGCGATTTCAGCGCCGATAGCAAGGGCCGCCGCCTGTCGCACCAGGAGCCGCAGCCAGAAGTCCGCGGCCCGGCCCTTCATGAAGGCCAGCAGCGCGCTCAGGTCGTCGGCGAGGCCCAGCAGGCGCATGCCGTGCGCCGCGGGGCAGCGTGCCGCACGCCGGAGCTGCATGAGCGCGAGGCGAGCCTCCTTCAGGTGGATGGCGTTGTGGTAGGCCCAGCCGCCCTTCACGATGTTGCGCCAGCGGGTGGGGTCCGTCCAGGAGTCGCCCAGGGCGCGGAAGGAGTCCGACGCCTCCACGACGCGGCAGGGAGCCCGCCGTCGTCGCGAAGATGGCGAGGTGGCCCCCTGCTCCGCGACGCCCGCGATGTCGAGCCCCAGCGAACCGAAGGCCTCCGCCAAGTGCGGGGCGCAGGCGTCGATGCGGTCGCCGTCCGAGGGGCCGTCGATGAGGTTGGCCTCCTCGAGCTTGAACCTCCAGCGCTCGCGCAGGCGGTCGGCGTCCAGGATGTCGGCGGCGGGCGCCCGCGCGAAGGAGAGCGAGTAGCCGAAGGTCGAGCTGTCGCCCGAGAACACGATGGGCGCCCGCGGCGCCGCCAGATCCACATCGACCAAGTTCACAAGGCCCCTCAGGACCCGGAGCTCCTCGGTCAGGGACGCACTGAACCACCCCCACTCACGCCGGCTGCGCCGATGGAGAAAGCGGTAGCAGTGGTCCAAGGCGGAGAGGCCCCAGGGCATCAGGCGGAAGTGGTTCACGATGTGGCCGACGACGCGCTCGAGGGCGACGCCAGGACCCCCCCCCCCCGCTCGAGGGGGCGACCCAGGGCCAGGTAAAGCCGCCAGGTGTACTTCTCAGTAGGCAGGAGCTGGAGCTGAGAGCCGCCCAGGAAGCGAAGGCCAACCACCGTGAGCGCGGTCTGCGCCCGCTCGATGTCGTGGACGATGAACCCCATGTCCTCCAAGCGAGCCAGGTGCAGGTCGAGGCCGCGCTCGGTATCCTCGCGGTTGAAGCCGATCGCAGCGCCGTTGTCGACGTACACCGAGAAGACAGGGCGACCAGGAGCAACCAGGGGCACGGGGGCGCTCTCGCGCAACAAGCCGCCCAGCGGGAGGTGGGGGCGACCAGGGGCCCAGGCGCGAGGGCCTGCGGCAGCGAGGGCGGCATCCTCCATGATCGCCTGGCAGAAGTAGAGGGCCCAGCTGAAGCCCATGCAGAGCACCCCCATGACGAAGTACAGCGTGGCGTCGCCGTCGACGGGCAGGTCGCGCTCCGCAACCTCGTCGTAGCAGGTGGTCACGCCTCAGTCGCGGGCAGGGAAACCGAAATCCACCCCGAACCAGCGCCCCACCAGCCTCTGGGCCCGGCACTGGTAGAAGCCCTGGTACAGGTCCAGGCTGGCGACGTGGATGTCGGCGGCCCGCGGGTCGCAGCCCGCGACCTCGAAGGCGGTCTCACTCAGGTCAAGGTCGCGGAGGGCGCCGGAGCCCCCCAGCTGCGCGCGCGGGGGCTCCCGCATGAGCTGGTTCGTCTCCCGGGCGCCCACGATCACGCGCTGGGCCCCGTCCTTCTTGGCGCGGAAGAACAATGCGATGCGGGCCCTGATCGAGGTCCGGAGTCCGCCCAGCCCGCAGGCCAACAGGCCCTTCTGGAGGTCAAAGAGGGCGCTGCGAGAGGAGCGGAGCTTCGGGTCCCAGTACGGTTTCACTGGGGTGATCAGCCCGTCCTGGATGCGCGCCTCCACCTCGGCGGCGGAACGCTCCAGGTGCCGCTCGGACCCGAGGTACTGCGTGAGCGCATGGCCCGTCAGCGCAGATTCCAGCGGCTTGGGGTTGGTGGGGCGCTTCAAGACCTTCAAGCGATCAGCGTCGAAGACCTCGAGGCCCTGTGGCTCTGTGTCGTATAAGTCGGTGGTCTTGAGAAGCTCGAACAGGGCTCCCGTCGGGGAGGTGCTAGGTGCGTCACCCCACCGCGAAACTCTCCGCCCAACCCGTGAGATCACCGAGGCCTGCGGCACGTTGGGGGCACGGGAGGGCGGGTCGACGATAGCCAAAGGCGACTGAGCGGAAGCCGATGCCAATGCGTTGAGAGCGACGATCGACTCCGCTACGCCAGCACGCCGTGCTCGACGGCGAGAGGCAGCTCGGGCAGCTGCACGATGCTGGCGACGGTCATGATGCTCAAGACCGGGGCAGGGAAGAGGGGAGATGCCTGCGTGCGAGGACGTGACGGGGCCCGCCTGCCGAAGGGCGTGCACTTGTGAATTCGGGCCAGGTGTCAAGGGAGACGCCGAGCTTGGCTGGGCGGCCAGATCAGCCAGCTCGGGGCGAGCGCCTCCCGCAGACGTAGTCATGTGTCCGCGGACCCCGACCCCTTGTTCTTTGGGTCGGCGGCCCGCTTCCGCTCGGCGTCCTTCTCTTCGCGGAGCAGGCGGCCCTGCTTCGCGATGGTAGCTTGATCCTTCTGGCGGTCCGCGACCCACTGGGAGAACGCCGCCGTCGTGGCAGCTCCGCTCTCGTCGGTGGACGCGCTCATCAGGGCGCCCAGCCCAGTGAAATCGGGGACCTGGGGGTTGCGGCGGACCGCCGCCTCGATCTGCACGAGGCGGCGGAACAGGAGCTCCGTGCTGACCAGCATCGAGACGTCGAGCTGGTCGAACTGCACCTCCCAGCGGAGCACCTCAGAGAGGAAGAAAAACTCGCGGGCCGCGGCACCGTTGACGTTGACACCTGACTTCCTGGACCACTCGCGGTGGTGAGACGTGAGCGACTGGCCCTGGGCCCGCAAGCTCTGCAAGAACTCGACGGCAACCCGAGGCCCCGCGAAGGGAAAGTGCTCGATCTTCGTATTCCCGAAGCGAGTCAAGGCGCCCTCCTCCGAGATGTAGGGCACTCCACGACGATCACGAACCAAGCCAATCACACGAGGATCGCGGCCGAAGGCCGTGACCGTGTCGAGCCCCCAGGTCTCCTCATGCCCTACCTCGACCGCCTCGGCGTGGACCCAGTGGCCGTCGACCATCCCTAGGCCGCTCGACGCCCGGGCGACGAAGCAGGCAGGATAGGCGATCGCCGCCCCGGGCACCGCGGACGCGAAGGCCGCATGAGCCGGGTCCGCGATCCGCCAGACTGTGTCGGGGGCCGTGCTGCCGATGGAGGTGGTGCCGTGCACCGCCGCCAGCATGCGTCCTCGCCTCACGGACTCGGCGAGCTCGGCCGCCGTGATGGGATCGAAAATGAAGCACTCGTCTCGATACGGCGCTGGAATGATCTCATTCCGATCCAGGGGCAGCGCACGGTGCAGGCCGAGGTTCAGCACCTGCACGGAGCCTGTGGGCGTCACGGCCGTCCACATCCCCTTGCCGTCGGTCTGCAAGCGGAGGCGATGGTGCCAGAAGAACCCGTTGGGGTCGTCAAAGAAATCTATCAGCACCTGGGGGTTGGGCACGTCCATGCAGTGCCCGTGGCACGCCGGCGGCGCCTGCCGCCGCGCGCGCCATCGCGCGGGGCTAGGGCTGGCCCCGAGGGCCAGCGGCGACGCGGGGCCCGTGTAGGCGCCCGGCCGCAGGTGCGTCCCCGCGGGGGAGCGGGCCCGAGGACGCGGCTCGCAGCAGCCGCGGCTGACCACCCCGAGCGCGAAGCCCACGAGCAGCAGGAGCCCCGCCAGGCCGACCCAGGCCTGGCGGCGGCAACAGCGCGTAGAGAGGCGGAGTCCCCGCCGTGCAAGTGGTAGTCGCAAGGGCTGGCTCGGCGGAGCGCTGAGGGCGCCCAGGCAGCGGCCCAGCGCCAGCTCCAGGCCTGGCGCGTCGGCGCCGCTGCGAGGCGCTGTCCCCGCGGCCGCGCTGGCGGCCACCTCACAGCGGCAGAGGCACTCGAGCGGAGGGATATCGAAGGCGCGGGCACAGTGAGATGCCCAGGTCGCAACGAGGTTCGCCGCGCCCAACCAGCCGCCGAAGTCCATTCGGGCGGCTTGATCCCACATGACTATGACGATGCAAGCGACCCATCGTATGCCTCCCCGCTCCCGTTTCTGGCTAGTAAAGGTAACAACATCAAGATTGGCAAGTTCCGAAGGAATCCGTAGGGATCCTCAGATCTCCAGGAACCCATCGGACGTCCTAGAAATCCATAGGAAAACAATTGGAAGGAACCCGTAGGAATTGGTGCGACATCCTTTGGAATCATGAGGAATCCTCCAGAATCCACGGGCATCCTCATGAAACCATCGGAATCCATCGGGCTCCCTAGGGATCCATAGGAATCCTTCGGAATCTTTTAGATTCCCTAGGAATCCATGCGATGCCCTTTGGACCCCTAGAGATCCTCAGGACCGAGAAATCCCAAGGAATCTTTGGGAGTCATCCTTAGGAATCCAAAGAAAACCAAAAGAATGAAATCTTTGGGAATCCGTCGAACTCCTCAGGAACTCGTAGGAATCAATAGGGATCCTCAGGAATCTCTAGGAACCTTTAGGAATTCTAGGGATCCCTCGGAATACCTCGAAACCTTGTAGGAATCCATAGGAACCATTAGGGATCCGAGAAAATGACCCGAAATCTGGGGATCCATGAGAATCCTCAGGAACACATGGGAAACTCAAGGACACTTAAAAATCCATGGGGAAACGCGAAAACTCCTGTAGAAACGCTCAGGAATCCATCGAAATCCCTAGGAACCTGCATCCTCAAGCATCTCAAAGGATCCGTGAGAATCCTCAAGAAGCCGTAGTCATCTCAAGGGACCCTCAGAATCCGTAGGAATCCATCGGAATTCAACGGAATCTATCAGAATCCCTCGGAATCCCTTGGGCTCCGTCGTGATCCCATCGGGCTTCTATACATTTCTTGGTGCCCCCGGGGCACTCAAGTACGCCTCACCCGGCAACAGCCATTTTACCCGAATGCTCGATGGTTCGATATGCAACATGCATCCATCATGATAGCCCCCCCTCACAAGAAAGATTTGTTCTTGCACAGGGGGTCCGATATTCCGTTACCTAGATCTCGTCTTGACAACACCTCTTCAGAGGCACTTCAACACCACCAGCCCAGATGGCACGTCGCCTTCCCAGTCGCCCTGCCCATGCCTTGCTTCACCACGCCTGAGTGCCCTAAAACCTTCGGGAGAGGCCGCACAAACTCTGGGAGAGCCCCTGGAGCACCTTGGACAGCCTCTGAAGCCCCTTGGAGAGCCCCAAAGCTTCTCAGAGAAGCTTCAGAGCCCCTGTTGGAAACCTGAGGGCCCCTGGGAGACGCGTCAAGCTGGCGGGCTTCGGGGCCTCTTGAGGGAGGCCTCAGGGCACTTTTGGAAATGGCCTGGGTCGAAGGAGCTTCTGGCCCTCTGGGGGCAGGCGCAAGAAGAGGAAGGAGAAGGAAGAGGAGGAGGAGGAGGAGGAAAGCGGAAGGAAGGAAGACGAGGGGGGGGGGAGGAGGAGGAGGAGGAGATGGAGATGGAGGAGGAGGAGGAGGAGGAGGAGGAGGAGGAGCAGGAGGAGGAGGAGGAGGAGGAGGAGGACGACGACATCGACGACGACGAAAACGACGACGCCGACGCCGACGACGCCGACGCCGCCGACGCCGAGAACGATGCCGACGACGCCGACGACGACGACGGCGGCGGCGACGGCGGCGCACGGCCCGCCCGCCCGCCGCCACCCGGGCGGCCCCGCGCCTCCAGCCCCGAGCAGCAGAGGAGGAGGTGTCCGACTGCCTACCAGACCACCCCCACCCAACCCGAAGACCCGAATTTCGGGTTGGGGGGGGTACACCCTGCGAAATGCTTAAGAAATCATGGGTTAAGAAATTCATAGTCTCAGAATTTGAATAAAAAACCAACATTCCCATTAAAACCTTAAGATTCACATTGAAACGTCAAGAATCATCGAGACTCTGGCCGACAACTTAAGTTTTCTTAAGCATCGCCTAAGGTGTATGGGCTCCATATGTGTTTTTTCGACGTTCCCGGACCCCCCCCCCCACTAGAAATCGCGGGTGAATCTGAGCCTTCGGGTTGGGTGGGGGTGGTCTGGTGGGTGGTGCGGAGGTATCGTCAGGTCGGGCAGATCCCCCTAGAAACGGATTTTGGACGAAACATCGAAAAATACGGGAAACAATACCCGGAACTAGTTCAAACGCATATCTTATTGTTTTCCCGTAGTCGTCCCCAGACTATACGACCATTTCTGAATACTCCTCCTGTAGAGGGACATGCCCGACTTAACCCGAGTAGCAAAGGGGGAGGTATCGAGCGGGAGCGTCGGTGATTGCAGGGGGAGCGCCGCCGATCCTGAGTGACGGTCCTCGTCCTCGTCCTCGTCTTGGTCCTCGCCCACGTCGTCGCCCTCGTCATAGTCGCCGTCCCCATCCTCGTCCTCACCCTGGTCGTCCTCGTCGTCGTCGCTCTCCTCCTCCTCCTCATCGTCCATGTCCACGTCCTCATCGTCGTCGCAAAAGGCACGGAAATATCGAGCGGGAGTGCCGGTGCTTGTTGGAAAGCCGGCCTGAGGCGGCGAGCATGAGCCCCAGCCCCGAGTAGAGGAGGAGGAAGTATCAAGCGGGAACGTTGTTGTTCTTGGGTGCCGTTTCGGCACGACCCAGAAACGCCTGAGAGTGAGCCAAAGTTTCAAAGCACGCAGGTCGAGCAGGCGGGTTGCTGAAGCGTGAGTCCTGCATGAATCGCGAGGAGGTCTCGAGTAAGAGAGCGATTTTCCCAAAGATGATAAGGAGGAAATTCATAAAGAGAGCGCGATTCCTGAGCGTCGAGGGCGCCGTCAGAATCATTTGCGCGGAAGTCCCACGCGAGGGCAGCATTCCTACATAAATTGTGAGGACATCCCGCGCGAGAGCGCGAAATTGAAATAAGTTGTGGTAGTTCGGGGGCGAGGGACACAATCTGAGGAGGATGACTTTCCCTTGTTACAAGGTGCGAGCCCCGGGAGAAGCGCTTTGATTGAAACGTCACCAGGTGCACCGGAGGAGAGGATCAATAGCAACCATTCTTAAGAAGTGAGAATTCAACATACAACAATCATTTCAAGACTGTTCGCTCGTATCTGCTCGCGTGCCATGGAGAATGTATACCACAAACCCTCGATACCCGCCTCCTCTTCGTCTTCGATCGCACCCCCCTTGGGGGGCATATCTTCCTTACCTGCCACGCGTTGGCGCAGCCGCTAGAACAGGGAAGAGAGGACGGATGGACGGAAGGGACAAGGGGAAGGGAGAAGGATGGAGCACGAGAGAGAATCGCAGGAGGGGGGCTAGGATCAAAAAACACGTGGCAGAACCACACGGGCAGATCGGGAGGGTAGATCCCAACGGGCGGGTCGGGAAGGCAGGCCCAGGCGGCCAGGTCGAGCAGGCGGGGTTACGGTATCGTGGGTCCTGCATGAAGCGCAAGGAAGTCTCGATCGATAGCGAGCAAATCGTGAGGAAGCCCAGAGCGACAGCCGGATTCCTGAGTGTTGAAAACGCGGCGTCTTAATCAATGGCGAGGCCCCGCGCGAGCACGCGATTCCTGAATCAACTGTGAGGACGTCCCGCGCGAGAGCGCGATTCTGATTGCACTGGACCGAAGGAGCATATCTGTATATATTCGAAATAGATCGGGGGCCGGGGGCCCAGTCTTAGGAGGGTCGCTTTCCCATGGAAAAAAAACAGGGTGCGAGCCCTGGGGGAAGCACTTCAACTGAGCAACAGATAACCTGGCGAAGGGCCCAAGCAGATACAGTTCTCAGTAACGTCGTTGTGGGTATCGCCTTCGGTGCTTCATGGGGCCACGAAGCGTGTAAAGGGTGTGCCGAGATGGGGCAGGGGCGCATGCGGGCGCAGACATCGGGGCCGTCGGTGGCGCTCCATATGGGGCCGCGAAACGTGTGAGGGGTGTGCCGAAGTGAAGCGGGGCCAACATGCGAGCGTCGCCACTGGGGCCTTCGGTGGAGCTCCCTATGGGGCCACAAAACGCTTCACTGAGCGAGGGGAACGTACGCGAACACCGCTGCTGGGGCCTTCGGTGAAGCTCTCTATGGGGCCACGAAGCACTGTACTGGATGAGGGGAGGCGCATGCGAACACCACCACTGAGGCCGTCGGTGGAGCTCCTTTTGAGGACACGAAGCGAATTACTGGGCGGGGGCGACGCATGCGAACACCCTGATTACAGCAGCAGCTGCTCACGCCTGATACTTCCTCACCATGTATTTTCGGTTCGCGCTCTCGCGCGGGACTTCCCCCCAGAAATCGCGCTCTCGCGTCCTTGCGATTTACTGCGGCGCCGTGCCCCAAAGACTCACAGACCATGCTCTCGCTTGGAATTGTAGGGCGACGAAATCTATACAGATCCACTGCTCCCTGACCAGGCCCATCCTGAATCCAGCAGCAGTGTATACGCCACGCCCTCCTGGCTTGGCCAGGGGGGCGTATACACCGCTACTGGGCCCAGGGAGGGCCCGGCCAGGGGGCAGTGGATCTGCATAGATTCCGTCGCCCGAAATTGCCAGGCGACTTATTTTGGGAATCGCGCTGTCGCTCGAGGCCTCCTTCACGATGGGCCGACGCTTTATCGCGACCCGCCCGCTCGACGTGGCCGCCGGGGGGCCCGCCGCCCACCGGGCCTGCCCGTGAGGGCCCGCCCCCGCCCAAGGACGCCAGGCCGGTTCTGCCGCTGGGGGCTGCTGCTCCTAAAACCCCCGGCCTGCAGATCTCTCTCGCGTTTCCATCCTTCTCCCTCCCCCTCGTCTTAGGGCGACACCGTCTATACATGTCCACTGCTCCCTGGCCACGCCCATCCTGACCACGCCCAGTGGTGTAGAAGGCACGCCCTCCTGAGCTGGGCAGGACGGCGTATACACAACTGCTGGATTCGTAATGGGCCTGGCCAGGGAGCAATGGATATGTATAGATCTCGCCGCCCTACGTCTCTTCACTCCTCCCCATGCTTGCCCTGATTTAGGGGCTGCGCCAATTATACGTGGCACGCAGGGGAGATGTACCCCCGAGCGGGGCACGATGGAAGACGAAGGGGCGGGTACCGAGGGTTCGGGATGTGCGTGTTGCATGGCACGCGAGCAGATGAGAGCGAGCAATGTTACAATGACTGGTGCTGTTGTTGTTGGTGGTGGTGATGCTGTTGCTGCTGTTGTTGTTGCTGCTGTTGTTGTTGCTGTTGTTGGTGCTGCTGTTGCTGTTGTTGTTGTTGTTGTTGGTGTTGTTGTTGTTGTTGTTGTTGTTGTTGTTGTTGTTGTTGTTGTTGTTGTTGTTGTTGTTGTCGGGGGCCCAGTTGGGGCGCGACCCCGAAACGCTTTATCGTGAGCATCAACTTCAAGGTAAATGCAGCCGGCGCCGAGGCGACAGCGCAAAAGCGGATATAGGGGGTCCAACAACAGGAATTGTTGGCTAATGAATATTCGGCAACAACAATAATTATCGCGTGTCGATTAGCACGTATATACGGAAGCCTCGATACTGGCCCTCTGCGTCTTCGATCGTACCCGCCCTTGCGGATATATGTCTTCCTTACCCTGCCACGTGTGGTTGGCGTAGCCCCTGAAACAAGAAAGGGGAGGGAGGGAGGAGGGAAGAGACAAGGCGGAGAGAGAAGGATGAAGCAAGGAAGAGAGGGAGGAGGACGGAGAAGGGAGGGAGGACGAAGAGAGAAGGAGAGGGAGAAGGGAGGGAGGGAGGGAGAAGGGAGAAGGGAGGGAGAAGGGAGGGAGGGAGGAAGAAGGGAGAGGGAAGGATGGAGCAAGAACGAGATTTACAGGCGGGGGGGTCGGAGCAGGAGTACAAACAATGGGCGGGCCGGGCGGGCGGACCCTCACGGGCAGGTCGGGTGGGCGGGCCCAGGCGGCCAGGTCGAGCGGGCGGGTCGCTCAAGCGTCAGCCCAACATGAATCGGAGGAGGTTGTTCTAGCGATCGCGCGAATCCCAAATAAATCGTGAGGAAGTTCAGAACAAGAGCGAGATTCCTGAGCGTCGAGGTCGCGGCGTTTCAAAACATTGCGAGGAAGTACCACGCGATAGGGCGATTCCATCAAAAGTTGCGAGGACGCCCCGCGCGAGAGCGCGATGTTGAATAAAAGGCTAAGATATATCAAGCGGGAGACTTTGTTGCTGTAGTTCGGGGGCCAGCAACCCAATCTGACCCTCAAGGCCCCTTGTAAAAACAAGGTGCTAGCCCCGGGATGGGCACTTCAATGGGAAAACACAGGGTGCTCTGAAGGGGGGGTCAGCAAGAACCATCGTTTAGAAATGAAACCTCAACAACAGCAGCAGCAACAACAACACCAAAAGCAACAACACCAACACCAACAACAACCAAACAACCATACAAACAATCAATCAATCAATCAATCAAACAAACAAACAGACAGACAGACAGACAGACAGACAGACAGACAGACAGACAGACAAACAACAACAACAACAACACCAACAACAACAACAACAACAACAACAACAACAGCAACAACAACAACAACAGCAACAACAACAACAACAACAACAACAACACGAGCATCATCCGCTGGACGGAGCGCCACTTCAGCCACGCACCCAGGGACAACCAATGACCGGTCGGCCACCTCCCTTGTGAGAGATCTGAGGGCACGGCCGTCGTCGAGCTCTGAGCCCCCGGAAGTGACCCCAAAAAGCTTTGGTGGGCCCCCAGGGGGCCATCCAAGGGGACAAAAAGAGAGCTTCCGTGGGGCACCTGCCGACAGGCCCACTGTGCTCCTCGCCCTCCGCCTCCCCCTTTGCTCTCACGCTCCCCCCCCCACCCACACCCGCGCCGTCGCACTGGCCATCTCCTCCCTGGAAGACTCTGGAGATCTCTGCAAGGGGGGTCCGGACGTCCCTGGAGGCCTCCAGGGCCAGGTCGTGTCGTGACGACGCCGGCGCCGGTTGTGTCGCCGCGTGGCTCGATCAAGCTTGCACGCTCGTCTCTCTCGTAGCGCGGATCGTTCGATGGTCAACCGATTCCTGGCCACCGGCGGCATTCAACCTTGAACACCCGCGCTCTGGGCCGCCGTCACATCGACACGGCGCGAGCCTACCGCACGCTCGGAGCAGGGCGAATTGACACAACGGCACCACAAAGTCAGCCTCCAGATCACTCCTGGAGTCTCAACGCAGCAGTTCTCAGAGCAGCGTCCGGCCGTGACCAAAGGGGGGCCCCGAAGGACAGGTACCGCTGCCTGAACTCACCCTTCTGTGATATTCGATCCTCGAGACGCGATCTTCGATCCTCCTGGGCCCCCCCCTCCTCCAGGTCACGCGGCCTCCTGAGCCCATCTCCCCACAGCGTTAGGTCGGGCATGTCCCCCTACAGGGGGATTTCTGACGAAAAATAAAAAATGCCCCCAACCATTTTTTTCACAAGAATGTTTGACAGAAACGATCCAAGAACATCGTACCCAGATAACGTTTTTTACTGCTTTTGCACATTCCCCCCCTGTATCAGGAGGGAAAGAAACACACAGCCACAATTTTAATCCTCGATTCCCCAGAAAATATGGGAAACTATGGGAAGTGGGGGGGAAGACAGACGAAAACAGGGGAAGATAGGGGGAATATTTCTATTTGTGTGTATCTATTTGTGTGTGCCCCAGGGCCCCTTCACCGTAGAGGCACAGGCCCGACGGAACCATGGCTGTGCCCCTTGGCCTCCGGGCCATATAGCCCGGCGCCCAGCCGGCCGCTCGGGACGGATCGGAGAGCACCCCCCCCCTCGGCGCGCGGCTGCTGCAGGGCATCCCGAGGTCGGCACGCCGCCGGGCACCGACAGAGACGCGCCGAGATCTCGAGTCTCGAGGCTTCGTCCCCTCGAGGGGACGAAGTTTCGAGACTCGAGGGGAAGGAGGAGGAGGGGAGGAGGAGGAGGAGGAGGAGGAGGAGGAGGAGGAGGGGAAGGAGGAGGATCCTCCTCCTGCCCCCTCCTCCTCCGAGCCACGCAGCCTCCTGAGCCTGCAGATGTCCTCGTGGATGGTGGCGTTCAGCAGCCAGGGCGCGGACGCGACGTCGTCCTCCCCGAGCACCACGGCCCAGTCGTTGACATCCTGGAGGAGGAGGAGGAAGATCGCAGCACCTAACCAATTCTCGCAATACCCATATTTGTTCCTCCTCCTTGCATCCTCCTCATCCTCCCCACCTTCCTCCTCCTGCCCCATCCCGTCTGTCGCACCCCCAGACGTGTCGGTATATCGGGCCAAAGGTTTCGCCCGAGTCCCCCTCGCCATTTATGATCTGGTACGTTAAAAATTTGCAACAGCTTCAAGCATGGAGCTTCACGGATGGTGGTTTTCAGAATGTGGTTTTCGCATTCGCGCTGCACACAATTGTGTCGTACAGTGCGGGCGCGGTCGCAAGAAACCCTCGCAAGAAACCCAACCCTGGAAACCCGCGCGGGAGGTGCGCCTGAGGGAAGAACCCGAGCATCCTGAGCGAATCAACTTCTTTGACGGCCGCGGGAAGTCACCGCGCAGCGCGCGGAACGAAGAAACCCAGGGCACCCTGACGAAACTCAGATGGTTTCTTGATGCGCGCCCCCTCTGTATAGGGTCGCATCAGCTTCCACGATGGAGAGCAAGTCGTTTTCAACATGTGGCCTTCGCCGTCTTCGCGCCGCGCACATTCGTCTTAAAAGGTCGCAGAAGCTTCAAGGATGGAGGGCAGCAGGTCTTTTTCAAACTGTGGTTCTCGCCTTCGCGCCGCGCGCACTCGTCTTCAACGCCTGCAACAGCTTGAAGGATGGAGGGCGGATCATGTTCAAAATAAGGCTCTCGCCTCAGCGCCGCTCACTGTCGTCTTACACAATAGCACCAGTTGCAGGGGAGGAGGGCCGGTCCTTCTCAAAATGTGATTCTCGCCTTCGCACCGCCCACATGAGTCTGAAGAGCGTGTGCAACAGCTGCATGTATACATATGGCTGAAGTCCCAGGAATAATGTTCGGGCGCGAAGAGGGATTGCCAAGACGCCACAATTACGTTGATTTGCTGAGGAAGCCCCAGGACTATTATTACGGCACGGCTTATCATTGTCAGGACGCCACAGTCACGTTGTCTCGCGGCACTGAAGTGCAAACTATTGCGTTCTGGCACGATTGAAGATGGTCAAAATATTACCTTCTAACGGGCAACTTGGAGAGATGGTTCACTGCAACATTGTTGATGCGTCGTGGCTTCACACTGGCCCTCCTTCTCTTTTTGCCCGATAAGGCTTGTTTCAATCATCTGTCCTCGGTGCCATGTTGGGGAAAGCCAGCGGAATTATTCGGGAAGGGCCAGCGGAATTCCGTTGCGAGGACTTCTCGAGCGGGAGCTCCGTTTTCGTTTCTTGAGGATGTCTCGAACGGAACGATTGTGTTGCAGAATGTTCGGAAGATGTCTTCACCCAGTGGATCTCTATGCCCGAGGACCCAGCGTCATTTACGAAGGATTATGGCCCAAGGAGCGCGGCCCTATTTTAAATGTACGAGGGGAGCGGCTAATGTTTCTGCATGCGCTCCTGCCCCTAACGAGCTGGAACCAAGCGTTTAAACGTGGTGTCGTTTCGTTTTGAGCTCGAACGTGCTTCTATACATATATTTATGAATATATATATATATATATATATGTGTGTGTGCTCCCTAAAAGATAGCTTAAGCAACACAAACAATCGCGGCGACAAGAACTTCTTTTCGCCGCGAACCAAAGCCATGTTTGTACACGGGTGAATTTCGCCCGTGAGCTGGAACCACTTGTTTGCACCTTGGCTCCCTTCGCCAGCGAGGCACGACAGTGTGCTCTGATAGGCGCCCTGTCCAGCCAAGAGCCGGAACCAAGTGCTTTTGTCAGCGCCCCTCTAACGGGGACTCCACTAACGGGCACTTTGGCCAGTGGCCGGGCGAACCCAACCCTCCCCGATGTGGGCAACGCTGCAATGCCAGAAAGAGGCCCTACAGCGGCAACGTTCGGCACATCTCCAAAGTGCCCGTGAGTGAGTCCCCGTTACGGTGCCGCTGATTTTGCATCACGTGCTCCTTCCGTCTGTGAGGGTCAGACCACGTGCGCTTTTTACCTCGGTCCCTCTCGCCCGTGAGCTGCGCAGCGCTGTCTTCACATAGTGACTACCTACCATGACCACCCCAACCCAACCCGAAGACCCGCATTTGACCCGAATTTCGGGTTGGGGGGGGTACGGATGCCATTTGGTTTTTCAACATTCCCCGACCCCCCCCCACTGGAAATGGAGGGCAAACTGAGGCCTTCGGGTTGGGTTGGGGTGGTTTGGTGGGCGGTGAGTTACGGTGCCGCTGATTTTGCCTCGCGTGTTCCTTCCGTCTGTGAGGGTCAGACCACGTGCGCTGTTTACCTCGGTCCCTCTCGCCCGTGAGCTGCGCAGCGCTGTCTTCACATGGGGTGCCTCTCGCCCGTGGGCACAGAAATATCGGAGGACGTCTCGAGCGAGGGCGTCCTTCGTGTGCGAGTTGCGGGAAAGGTCTCGAGCGGGGGGAGGAGGAGGGAGGAGGAGGAGGAGGAGGAGGAGGAGGAGGAGGAGGAGGAGGAGGACAGCGTGTCAGGCGAAACGCTGGTCTGGGACAGTCCGCTGAGGATGCCTCGAGCGAGACCCTCGTTCTGCAGAGTTTGAAGGACCTTGGCGCCCCAGGATGCTCCAGGAGGCTCGGAGAGCGCACCTATCGGATCCTCGGAACTGTCGCATCTGGAGGTCCCCCACACATCATGACACGGCACAGTTCAGCACAGCATGGATCGATCGCAATTCGCGCCAGGATCGCGGACTTGGGGGCGCTCATCTTTGGTATCTTACGGGGATATTGTTCCTCGGATTGCGGCTCCTTCGAAGGAGACGCCGTAGTTTCGGGAGGGTGAGCAGAAACGCCTTCGGCTCGTCCCAACCTCGATTCGTCTTGCCTCGATTCGATTAGAGTCGGATCGGCCCTCGTCTCGGTTCGTTTTCTTTCGGTTCCTCCTTTCTCAACTTGTGGCGTCCCAGTTCGCCGCGGTCCGTTCCGTCCACTGTCGGTGCGCTTCGCCTCGGTTCGGATTCGCCCCCTCTCAGTTCGTCGCGCTTCGGAACTGAATCGGATCTTGAGCTCGAGCTGGCTGCGCGCCCCGCACGCTTCGATTGCAACCAGCTCTGGGCGAGCGAGCAATGAGGTGACTCAACTCGAGCTCAAGATCCACCTCTGTTCGGTCAGTACTGGGGTACCAAGAACGACTGTGTCCACAACGCAAAGAACCCACAACACAGTTCAACACAGCACGACACAGTACACTTTAGCACAGCATGATTCAATCGCAATTTGTGACAGAATCGCGGCCTTGGGGGCGCACATCCTTGATATCGTACGGAAGTATTATTCCTCGGATTGCGGATCTTCCGGCAGGAGACGTCATGCAATTTCGGGAGGGTGAGCAGAAACGTCTTCGGCTAGTCCAGGTCTGGGTTCGTCTTGCCTCGAGTCGATCAGGGTCGGTTCGGCCCTCGCCTCGGCTCATTGTGTTTCGGTTGCTCCTTTCTCAATTCGTCGCGTCTCGGTTCGCCGCGGTCGGGTCCGTCCACTGTCGGTACATTTCGCATCGGTTCGGATTCGCCCCCTCTTAGTTCGTCGCGTTTCGGAACTGAATCGGATCTTGAGTTCGAGCTGGCTGCGCGCCCCGCACGCTTCGGTTGCAGCTAGCTCTGGGCGAGCTGTGGAGCCATTCAACTCGAGCTTGAGATCCATCTCAGTTCGGTCAGAACTCGGATGCCAAAGACGACTGTGTCCACAACGCAAAAGAGCACGGATCAGTTTAACGCGACACTTTACATTTCGACTCAGCATGGCCATGCACAGCTCAGCCCCTGGCACGGTACATCACCATCGTTACCTTCAGCATTGCAAATACCCGCCGCGCAATCAAGTGTCCTGAAAACGCTTCCATACCTCATTATCATGTTGAATGAATTTCAGATTCTCGCCTTCTCGGGCTTCCATCAGCTGAGAGGTGTCCAAGAAGTCTCCACGATGGCCCTGCCCAAGCGGCCCCCACGAAGGTCCAACGAAGATGGCCACAGAGGGCCCAACGGGAGCCCACAAAACACCCAAGACGGCCCCAAGACGGCCCGAGAGGGCCTCCCGTCGGACCCAAGGCAGCCTGATAAGGCCCTGCAACTGCCCAAAATGGCGCCAAGACGGCCCTATGACGGCCCCCAGACACCCTCGGACCAAAAAAAAAATGCTCGGCAACCACACATCTGGCAAGTTTATCCAAGTTCTGCGCGCGCGCACTTCCTCACCATCACCCTCATCAACACCATCGCATCACCGCTGTTCCGCCGTCATCGCCAATCGCCGTCATCATCATTTAATCACCTTCGTCACCGACGCATGCGCCATCGTCATCGTCGTCACCAGCATCGGCTCCGTCGTTATTGGCCTTGCCGTCGTCGTCGTCGTCGTCGCCACCATCATCGCTACTTTCATGGCCGTTGCCGCCGTTATCTGCGTCATCATGGTATCGCGCCCGCCCGAGTCGAGCCACCGACCAACACTGAAGTGCCCGCGCACCAGCGCGGCTTCTGAGACGCGCCGGGAAGTCTTCATCGGCAAGCGCCATCGCGGCCGCATCAAGTATGCCAAACCATCTGGCCGCTCTGCGCACGAGGGTGCGCACACGAGCGCGGCCGCAGAGATGCACCAGCCAGTGCCAAGAAGTGACTGCAATCGCGGCCTCGTGGGTTTTGGGACAAAAAATTGCGGGTCGAAGAGTGGAATGTTCGCGCGAGCGGTGGAGCCGACAGCTCGCTTTCGACTTTATTGTGTTAATCTCGCCAGGTACATTGCACGAAATAGCTCGCACCACATGCATTATGCCACATAGCTTTCAAAGAATGGCGTGCACCATGCGGCTTGTGCCACGTAGCTTGTACATCCTAGGTGCAACAATGTACTGCTTAGCGCCCAAGCTGGCAAACATCAATTATATCTACATATACACACTAGAACCACACGCGTGCGCTTCGCGCGCGCTTAGGTTCTAGCCCAGCCCATGGCGCTGCCCCCTATCATGGCCCGCCCATCGCCTTCCCTAATGTCCTTCTCTTCGTTTTCTCCTCCCATCCTCCCTCCTCCCTCTTCCACGTCCCCCTGCCCTCCTCCCTCCAACTCCTGCCTCCCCCCCATTCCCTATGCCAGCGGCTTCATATTACTGGGCGATCATGCGGCGCTCTGCGGGCTTTCATGGGGCGCTATCGTGCCTCGTTTAGTCTCTCTCTTGGCCTCTCTATTGGCATCTCTTTGGGGCTGTTTGGGGGCTCCTGGGACCGTCGTTGGGGCGTCTTGGAGCGGTCTCGGGGGCCCAGGGGCCAACTGGGACGCTCAGAGGCCGTACTGGGGCAAGGCTGTCCTGGACCCACGAGGCCGTCTGCGGGGTCTCTTAGGGCCGCCTTGGCGCTCTCTTGGCGCCCTCTCGGGCCGTCCTGGAGAACTCGTTGGCCTGTTCGGGGCCGTCTCGTGGCCGTCTTGGGGGCAGCTGGGGGCTCTCAAGGGCCATGGGGCTTTCTGGACCCGTCTTGGCGTTGGGAGTCTCGTAGGCCGAGGGCACGGTAGGAATACACCTGTGTCTGTGTAGATACATACGTATATACATGTAGATGTGTGTATATATGTATACAAGACTGCATTGGCGCTTCACGCCATGCACCTTTGTCCTTGAAATTTGGCATGCCGGCGGACGGGCAAGAAACTTCGAAACAAACACTCTAGCGATACCTCCTTCTTGCCTTTTGCGACATCGCCGTTATACGAATGATATTAACTATCCGTCATTCGTGCTTCCTTTTCCTCTTTCTCGCCTACTCTGCGAATTCTTCCCCGTCCTCCGCAGCTCTTTCTGCGGAGACTCCTCCCTGGAGAGCCTCTTGGGGCCTCACGGAAGTTATTGAATATTTCTTCTAACTTTCTGGAGGCCTCCTGGGCACATTCAGGGGGCCTCTGGGGGCTTCCTCGGGCCACCCTGCTGCCAACCGCGGTCTCCCTGAACGACCAGTCACAATTCGGAATGCTTCGGGGGACGTCTTGGGGTCATCTTGGATGTATCTTCTGGTCATCTTGGAACTCTATTATGCCGTCCTGGGGGCTCTCTTGGATTGCCTGAAAGCCTTTTCAAATGGTTTTGCAACGATTGTCGGGCCTCCCAAGCGGTCTCGGACGCTAAGAAGACCGAAGAACAAGGCATTCCCACAATCATACACATACCGTGGGGAATCACTGCGTTTCTGCGTTTTGCAAGCCTCTTGGCGGTCTTCTTTGGGTCGTCTTCGGGAGTCTGGTGGGTGTTTGGGACCTCTTGGGACCTTCGGCGTGGCGTTCGGCCGCCCTCCTCACCGATATGGGCCCGTTGCCGAGGCCCAGCAGGGACTTTCAAGAGCATGAGAGGTGTGGGGGGCCTCCTGCAGGGGGCCCCCCTGGGACCACGGATCCGGGGGTTCCCGTTTCGGGGGAAGGGGGGGGGGGGCAGGGTTTCCGCAGGGTCCCGATTATTTCCAAGCAGTGAACATGTATATAGATATGTGTAGGTCACACGCGCACACACACACAAAACACAACACACACACACGCATATATATATATATATATATATATATACAATACACACAGCACACAACACACACACACACACACTCACACACACCATGTGCGTAAACATATGTAAATATACCCTCACTCAAACACATTGGAACAAAAACCATGGAATATCAACATGCTTTGCCTGTTGGAGCCATCTGGTGCAGGTCTGGTGCAGGGTCTTGGAACTCTGTAGGAGCGGCTTCAAGGCGTCTGGAGCCGCTGCTGCGGCCTCCCTGCATCTTCTGGGGGGCTCTGACTCCCCTGGGTCGCCGAAACCCTGTAAAAACACTGGGAAAATGACACTGTGCACCCCCATTTGTGGTAGAGGCCGCGGCCCCGGGGGCCCGGGCCCCGGGGCGCCGTTATATGTATAGTCCGTATACAACCATATCGTGTATAAACATAATCACGTGCCTGCGCAGTACATCTGAAAGTGCATCTGCATACGTATATAAATATGTGTGCATCTACATCCTCGAAGCCTCGATCCTCGAAGAGAAGGGAGGGGGAGGAGGAGGAGGAGGAGGAGGAGGAGGAGGAGGAGGAGGAGGAAGAAAGGAGGAGGAGGAGAAGGAGAAGGAGGAGGAGGAGGAGGAGGAGATGCAGGAGTAGACGTAACTTGAGGCGCGCCGAATCATCCGAATGAGGCCAGCGCGAGAGCCTTGCTGGAGGAAGGACCGCGCCACGATCGAGCAGTGGACCGAAGCAAACAAGGCCCGACCGAAGAAAGACCGCCACGCAAGGGGAGACGGAGATGGAGGAGTGCAGCAGCCAAGAGAAGGCCCTGAAAATGACTGACCCGAGCGAAAGTAAGACTAATGAGGAGGAGGAGGAGGAGGAGGAGGAGGAGGAGGAGGGAGAGGAGGAGGAGGGGGAGGAGAAGAAGCAGGAGGAGGAGCAGGAGAGGAAGGGGACAGAGAGAGGAGGAGGAGGGGGATTGAGGAGGAGGAGGAGAGGAGGAGGAGGAGGAGAGGAGAGGAGGAGTAGGACTGAGGAGGAGGAGGAGGAGAAGGAGGAGGAGGAGGAGGAGGAGGACTGAGGAGGGGGAGGAGGAGGCGCAGGAGGAGGAGGAGGAGGAGGAGAAGGATTGAGAAGGAGGAGGAGGAGGAGGAGATGGAGAATGAGAGGTGGGAGGAGGGAGGACGCGCACGCGCCGCCGGTCTGTGGGCTCTCCTCCCAGCCGAAGGGCGGCACGAAGTCGTCGTCTATCATCACCGGCACCGCACCGGCGGCCACCACCTCCAGCGGGTGGTGCCGGGAGCCGGAGGGGGGGAGAGAGGGGAATCGACGAACGCGTTCCACTATTCGCAAAGTAACTGCTCGCAAGTGGCCAGGGCGGAGGTTTTTCCGTCCGGTTCCTCCTTCCTCCTTCCTCCGTCCTCCTTCCTCCTTCCTCCTTCCTCCTTTCTCTTTCGTCCTTCCTCCTTCCTCCTCCTCCCTTCCTCCTTCCTCCTTCCTCCTTCCTCCTTCCTCCTTCCTCCTTCTCCTCCTCCTCCTCCTCCTCCTCCTCCTCCTCATCCCCCTCCCTCCTTCCTTACAGCGACCAGGGACACAGAAATAAATACACACACAAATCCCAAAATGTCCTATATTTCCTCATATGTTCTTGGTTGCGTCTCCCCCCCTTCCCAGATGTTCGCATATTTTCCTGGGGATCGACGAGAAATTGTGCCTGTGTGTTGTCGTTCCCCTCCTGACTCCTTCCTTTCCACCCTCCTTCCTTCCTTCCCTCCCTCCCTCCCTCCCGCCCCCCCCTCCCTCCGTCCATTCCTCCCCGCTGCCCCATCGCCTCGGTCAGCCGGAAGGTGTAGTGCTCGTCGCCTGCGCGCACAGGGGGGCCGCGCTGCTCCCTCGCTCGGTATGGCCTCCCAGCGGGGGGGAGGGGGGCTCCCCCGCCCGACCGTGCCATCCTCCTACTCTTCCTCCTCCTCCTCCTCCTCCTCCTCCTCCTCCTCCTCCTCCTCCTCCTCCTCCCTCTGCGGCGACAGTTGCACAGGGGGCCGCCCCCCGTGGGGTCTGGGCACGGGGGTGGACTTGGTTTGCCAGTCCACCTCGACCGTTGCTCAGCCCCACCCCTCCCCCTTGCCCTTCGTGGGCGGTTGAGGAGCGGTGCCGCTGTGGCTAGGTGTGCAAACGCCATATCAGGGCCCATCGCCCTCGTTCAGCGTCGGCAGCGTCCTGCCGTCTGTGCGGCCAGGTGGTTCACCCGCGGCCGTTGCGGAGTACATAGGTGGCCCAGTGCCACGCGGTTTTGGGTTAGGGTCGATTCGGCCAACCCTTAGCCTCCCTCATTAGCCTTGTGATTGTCCTCCTCCTCCTCCTCCTTCCCCTCCTCGTCCTCCTCCTCCTACTTTCCCTCCTCCTCCTCCTCCTCCTCCTCCTCCTCCTCCGTTCCTTCCTCCTCCTCCTCCTCCTTTCCTTCCTCCTCCTCCTCCTCCTCTCCTCCTCCTCCTCCTCCTCCTCCTCCTTTCCTTCCTCCTCCTCCTCCTCCTCCTCCTCCTCCTCCTCCGCCCCCTCTCTCTCCGCAACGCGCGCCCGCCCGGAACATCGCCAGGCAGCGAGCGACGGAAGGCCGGAGCGCGCAGCGGAGCACCAGCTGCACGTGGTCGGCGGGCGAGGCTGCGCTCGCCCGCCTCCAGGCGGTGCGGGAGGCGAGCTGCGCCTCCCTCCCCCCGTGCGCAGCACAAGAAGAAACGAGTCCCTCTGTGGATCGATTTGACATGGGGGGAGGAGGAGGAGGAGGAGGAGGAGGAGGAGGAGGAGGAGGAGGAGGAGGAGGAGTCCTGGAAGAGGCTCCACGGCCCTGCAGGCTCGAAATCCGTATTTGGGCCCCCCCTGGGTTCCTTGGCGCCTGGCAGAACACGGATCCCTTCCTGAGAATGATCCTCTCCCGAGGCCGCGGATCCTGGTATTTACACGCACAAACACATAGACACACACACATACACACACACACATACATATATATATGTATATATACACGTATGAATTTGTATTAGCTCTCTCTCTCTCTATATATATGTCTTTATGTATATACGTATCAGAGTGAGGGGGGCTGAACCGAACGGTCATTCACTGTCCCTGGATGCGTGGCTGAAATGGAATTCCGCGAGGCGGATTCTCGTTGTTGTTGTTGTTGTTGTTGTTGTTGTTGCTGTTGTTGTTTGTTGCTTGTTGTTTGTTGTTGTCGTCGTCCCACCCGCGACCCGCCCCGCGACCCACCCGCGAACCACCCCGCGACCCACTCGCGACCCACCCGCGACCCACCCCGCGACCCACCCGCGACCCACCCCGCGACCACCCCGCGACCCACCCCACGACCCACCCGCGACCCAACCGCGACCCACCCGCGACCCACCCCCCGACCCGTCCGCGACCAACCCCGAGACCCGGCGACCGCGACCCCGGCGACCCACGCGACCCACCCGCGACCCACCCGCGACCCACCCGACCCACCCGCCCACCCCGCGACCAACGCGGACCCACCCGCGACCCACCCCCGACCCGCGGACCCACCGGCGCGACCCACCCGCGACCCACCCGCGGCCCACCCCGCGACTCCCCCGCGACCCACCCGCGACCCACCCGCGACCCACCCGCGACCCACCCGCGACCCACCCGCGACCCACCCCGCGACCCACCCCGCGACCCCGCGACCCACCGCGACCCACCCCGCGACCCACCCCGCGACCCACCCCGCGACCCGCGACCCGCGACCCACCCGCGACCCACCCGCGACCCACCGCACCCCGCGAACCACCCGCGAACCCCACCCGCGACCCACCCGCGACCCACCCCGCGACCCCCCGGCGACCCACCCGCGACCCACCCGGCGACCCACCCGCGACCCACCCGCGACCCACCCCGCGACCCACCCGCGACCCACCCGCGACCCACCCGCGACCCACCGCGACCCACCCGCGACCGCGACCCCGCGACCCACCCAAAATTTTCGGCGCCTGCGGCGGGCTTCTTTTGCATTCGTCCAGGTGGAGAACCTGCGACCCACCCGCGACCCAAACCGCGTTCAGTGTACAAATCAAAATGTTCGGCGCCTGCGGCGGGCTGTTTTTGAATTCCTTCCAGGTGGAGGTGGAGAGCCCGCGACCCACCCGCGACCCAAACTACGTTCACTGAACAAGCCAAAACTTCGGCGCCTGCGGCGGGTTTCTTTTGCATTCGTTCCAAGTGGAGAACCTGCGACCCAAACCGCGATCAGTGTACAAATCAATGTTTGTCGGCGCCTGCGGCGGGCTGTTTTCGAATTCCTTCCAGGTGGAGGTGGAGAACCCGCGACCCACCCGCGACCCAAACTACGTTCACTAAACAAGCCAAGAACGGAGGAGGCGGACGACGACGACGATGAGGAGGAGGACGCGGACGAGGAAGAGTAGGAGAGGAAGAGGAGCAGGAGGAGGAGGAGGAGGGCGCCATCGACAGGGAAGGTGAGGGCCACGAGGTCCGCCGGCTCGACGCCCGCGTCGCCCGCGCCCGCTCCCTCACTCTTATCCGCAATTGCGGGGTGCTACGTATATATATATATATATATATATATATATCTATATATATATATATATATGTACGCGTGTATACTGTTTTTATTTATTCTCCATAGATAAATTGGGGTCAACCCTCCGAGGCTGATTTCCCAGTAAATGAACCTGGCGCGACCCTAATTTTCACAGTGCTTGGCAGTGCATGGCATTGCTTGGCATTGCTTGGCATTGCTTGGCAGTGCTTGGCAGTGATTTGCAGTGCTTGGCATTGCTTGGCATTGCTTGGCATTGCTTTGCACTGGTTGGCATTGTTATGCATTGCTCTGCATTGCTTTGCATTGCTTGGCATGAGGCACAGGGGGCGGGGAACCCGGGGAGTCCCGGGGATTCGGAGGAACCCAGGGAACTCGAGTAACACGAGGAACCAGGGAACCCGAAGCACCGGGGGCGGGGAACCCGAAGAAACCCGGGGAACCCGAGGAACCCAGTGAACCCGAGGAACCCGGGCAGCCCGAGGAAACCGGGTATCTCCGAGGAACGGGCAGCGTACGAAAGAATCGGGGGCATCGAGGGCGAGGAACCCAGTGAACCCGAGGAACCTGGGGAACCTCCGAAGAACAGCCAAAGTAGCCTCCCGAGGCACCAACCTTTTGACCAAGTAAGAAAATCCCCTAGGCAAGTCGAATCGGAGAACAAACGGCCCACGTTCACGAGGCCGCGATCCCTCGTACAGGACAGATGGCTAGTGTTCCCGAGGACGCGATCCCAGGTCTAAGCAACAGGAACAGCACCCCCGAGGCTACGTAATGGTCTGCGCTCCCGAGGCCACGGCCTCTCATAGGAAGCATCGCCTCCGCGATCCCGGTGCCACACTCCTCCGCGCCAGCACACCAGATCCGCGCTCCCGAGAGGGCGATCCCTCGCAAAAAGCGGCAGGATCGCGTGCACTTCGCGCCCCCCGAGGCCATCCTCCCTGGCCAACGACGCGGCGCTCGCGCCCCTGAGGCCACAAACCCTCGCGACTCTGCGCGGCTCCCGTGCCCTTGACGCAGCAAACCCTCCGTGGCTCACGCCCTGGCCGCGTCCCCCGAGCCACCAAAACCTTTGCGCATCGCGCCGCATTTCGAGGCCGCGGGGCCATCGACCACACCCGAGAGGCCCGTGCGCTCCCGAGGCCGCGGACCCAGCGCATGAGCGGCAGAGGCCCTGCTCACACGAGGCCGCGAGGACGACTCCAAGAAGCACGCGCTCTCGCAGAGCACCCCTCGCGCCGTCCCCTGAGGGGGGCTGCGACCTGCGACACCGTCGCCGAACTCGACGGCATGTGGTTCGGTCGGGCATGCCCCCCCCCTACAGGCGGATTTTGCGCGAACATTTGAAACATGTTCATGTATATATACATGTATATATATATATATATACATACATAGATCCCAACATTAAAAAAAAAATCCTCCAACATCGCCCCCATACTTTTTTGGTGACTGTGTTTGAATATTACTCCTGTAGAGGGACACGCCCGACTTAATGCTTGGGGGGGGCAGCACAGCGTCGCCAGACGCGAGTTCAGATTAGGCCTCGCCATCCCTGAGGGGGGCTGCGATCTGCGAAACCGTCGCCACTCTCGACGGCTGCTGGGGGGGGGGGGGGGGGAACCAGCACAGTGTCGCCAGACGCGGATTCAGATCAGACCTCGCCAACCCTGAGGGGGGTTGCGATCAGCGAAACCGTCGCCACTCTCGACGGCGGCTGGGGGGGGGGGGGGGTCAGCACAGTGTCGCCAGACGCGGGTTCAGATTAGGCCTCGCCAACCCTGAGGGGGGCTGCGACCAGCGAAACCGTCGCCACTCTCGGCGGCGGCTGGGGGGGGCGGGGGGGGGGGCCAGCACAGTGCCGCCAGACGCGGGTTCAGATCGGGCCTCGCCATCCCCGAGGGGCTGCGAGATCCGCGAGACCGTCGCCACCTTCGAGGGCTGCCGGGGGGGGGGGGGGGGGGGCGGGGGGGCCAGCGCAGTGTCGCCAGACGCGGGTTCAGATCGGGCCTCGCCCTCCCTGAGGGACTGCGAGATCAGCGAAACCGTCGCCACGTTCGAGGGCTGCGGGGGGGGGGGGGACAGCACAGTGTAAGCCATACGCTGGCTCAGACGAGACCTCGCCATCCCTGAGGGAGGCTGCGGGCCATGGGCCAGCGGCCCCCAGGACACCCTCGGGAACCAGCACCCAAACAGTGTCACAGTAGGCGGGCGAGCACACACACCTGTTTGGGGCCGACCGCTGCCCCAAGCGTGGCGAAGGCGGCCGGGCTCATCAATCACCGCTGCGCTGTCCGTGCAAGACCTTCCGCATTGGTCCGGGCTCCCTCGCCGGCCCTTTTGGGCCACTCCATGAAAGCTCCCAGCACCCACGGTAGACCGTGGTGGCCGCTCGTCTTCTCAAGACGGGTACGCGTGAAAGGTGTCCAGGTTCAGGCAGGCGGGTCTCGCCGCTCGGTGCCTGCTGTCTTTCTCGTTTCATCAGCCCCGTGGACTCGAAACTCCACGGCGGGCCACTCCCGCTGCGACAACTTCCTGACCGCTTGGTCCTAGTAGACGCGCTCGGCGCTGCGCTTGGAGGCGCACTGACCAGGGTCAATCCAAACCCCAGTCAGTCGGGCCTTGTAGGATCCTGCAGGATCTTGCGCCCTAACCCGGGTCAGTGAACTCCCGCTCTGCAGGATCATGCAAGATCTGGCGCTCTGGCTGACCCCCGTTTGCAAGGACCCCCGTCCATTTGATCCCCGTTGCGCATCTCTTGCCAGCCCTCTGGCCAACTGCCCCGGATCGGTCGGCAGCGGAAAAGGCGTCTGCCTTCTTCACAGGGAAGAGGAGGAGGAGGAGGAGGCGGAGGAGGAGGAGGAGGGAGAGGGAGGAAGGAGGAGGGAGAGGAGGAGGAGGAGGAGGAGGAGGCGGAGGAGGAGGGAGGAGGCGAGAGAGGAGGAGGAGGAGGAGGAGGAGGAGGAGGAGGGAGGCGCAAGAGGAGGAGGAGGAGGAGGAGGGAGCAGGGAGGAGGAGGAGGAGGAGACGAAAGAGGAGGAGACGGCCATCTCCTCGGTGGGCGTCCAGAGCGCCGCCCCTGGCCGCCGGCGCAGGCGCCCCCTGGGCCGGGGGGGGGGCGAAGGCGAGGTGCCGCCGGGCTGCCGCCCACGCGGCGCCGCGCGGGTTGCCAGGTGTGCGGCGCGAGGCTTCGCCCGGCGCCCCCCCCGTGGGCACCTCGTGCGCTGGGCGGCCGCACGGCGGGCACCACGCAGCCTGCGCCACGTCGCCGCCACCGCACGGCTGACACCACATGGCTTTCATAACAGATCTTGCCGCGCAGAGCGTATACCACATACCTAGCTCACACCATTATATATACACATACATATACACGTATAGCACTGCGTAGCTTACACCACAACTATCACGCTGCACCACAGAGCTTCCATCGTGCAGCGTACACCACATAGCCTGCACCGCACAGCTTGCACCACAAAAAGCAGCCTGCACCTAGCCGATTGCACCAGATGGCGTGCACCACATAGATGGCACCTCATAGTTGCTATCCTGTGAACCAGAAAACAAACGACACCACCCCACCTACGGCACCACGGGGTTTCGCGTATACTAGGAGATCCGGCGTGGGCTTCTGCGGGGTAAACGCTACCGCGCTCGACAGGCCGTAGCGCAACATGGAGGGCCGTAGGTGGGGTGGTGCCGTCTGCTCTCTTTGTCGACCATAGCTTGCGCCGTAGGTGCACCACACAGCCTGACACGCCCACGGTATATGATCTTGTTGTTTGGGGATCTGCGCTGGCAAAGCCCTGCTTTGATGACGAGATGCTACATATGTGCGGCAACTGCCCGGATGCGGGGCGTTTCCTCTGAAGAGCGGGGGGCCGTCGCCGGGCCTGGCCGCGTTCCGCATAGCTGCCGGCTCGTAGGGCGAAGGCCTGGGCTTCCGCCTCGTACCCTCGCTCCCGCTCCTCCGCCGCCTCCTTCACCTTCATAGTCTTTATCGGACTCCACCGTCTCCTCCTCCCCCTCCTCCTCCTCCTCCTCCCCCTCCTCCTCCCCCTCCTGCTCCTGCTCCTCCTCCCCCTCCTCCTCCCCCTCCTCCTCCTCCTCCTTCTCCTCCTCCTCCTCCTCCTCCTCACGCTCCTCCATTCCTTCTCCGTATACATAACTTATCCCTGTCGCACCCCGAGGCCAGTTTGAGGGCGAGCCGGGCGTTTCGCCTGAGAATTCCTCACAACTGATGACTCTGAAGCTTAATCGTTGGCAGCAGTTTCACTGATGGTGATCGGGTCGTCTTAAAAATGTGGCTCTCGCCGTAGGGCCGCGCACACTCGTCTTAACCATTTGCAAGAGCTTCGCGGATTGAGGGCGGGTCGTTTTCAAAATGTGGCTCTCGCCTTTGCGCCGCGCGCATTCGTCTTAAAACTTTACAAGAGTTTCACGGATTGAGGGCGACTGGTTTTCACAATGTGGCTCTCGCCTTAGAGCCGCGCGCACTCGCCCCAAACATTTGCAAGAACTCCACGGATTAAGGGCGAGTGGTTTTCAAAATGTGGCTGTCGCCTTTGCAACGCGCAGGATTCTTGCAAACCGTTGCAAGAGTTCCGAAGATTCAGAGCGAGTCCCTTTCAACACGTGGCTCTCGCCTCGGCGCCGCGCACATGCGTTTCAAACATTTGCAAGAGTTTCACGGATGCCCACGATCAACGTACCAGAAATTGCGTTTTGAAAGGGTTCAGGCTTATGAGGGTGCACAAGGTGTGTTGATTCACAGCGTTCAGGTCCCACGAGTGGCGTTCTGGCACGATTTGGGATCGTCAAGGCGCAACAGCCAGGTTGATCCGAGGCGTTGGCATCCCGAGAACAATGCTTTGGCATGCTCCAGGGTCTTCAAACGGTTTTCCCCACGAGGCAATTCCCTCAATGAATGTGAAGCGGTGTATAGGGGTCTGTGAAGAGGGAGCTTGGAATGAGGGTTTATTCCAACATCATTGATGCCTCTTGGGTTTACACTGGTCCTCCTCCTCCTCCTCATCCTTCTCCTTATGCTCCTCCTCCCCTTTTTACCGATGTGTGTTCCCGTGTCCTTCTACCCCTTCCTCCTCCTCCTCCTCCTCAGCCTCCTCCTCCTCCTCCTCAGCCTCCTCCTCCTCCTCCTCCTCCTCCTCCTCCTCCTCCTCCTCCTCCTCCTCCTCTTGCGCCTCCGCCTCATCGGGCACCACGCCGACCAGCCATAACTGGGGGAGCTGTGGTCCTTACCCCCCTGGGGGAACCCATCGCATCGACGACCTCCCGAGAGGGGTGTCGAAATCGATGGATCCCCCCGGGGGGTGAGGACCACAGCTCCCCCAGCTATGGCTGGCCTGCCACGTCTTCCCCCTCCCCCGCCCCCAGACTCCCGACGTCGTGATTTTTTCACGACGTCGCCCCCCAGAGGTCTGGACCCCTTCCCCGGGACCGGTTTTTCGTCCTGCATCGTTTTGTTGACGGTCCCGAGGCCCGGGAAGGGCCCCCCGAGGGCGAAACTATCGAAACACCTCCCGTCGTGATTTTGTCACGACGCCAGGAGGTCTGGGCCCCCCGCCCCCCGCTTTCCGTCAAAAAACGGGCGAGCGCCGGGGTGCGTATACGCCGCGCGCGCGCGGGCGCGAATCGGTCCCCCCCCCCCGCGGCCGGGAGAGGGAGCTGTGCCGGGCCGCGCCGCCGCGCGGCTCACCTGGAGAAACAGCCGCCGGGCTCGCGGGCGGAAAGCACGCGGCCACGCAGCCAGCGGATCTGGTGTGGGGTCGGGCATGTCTGAAGGGGCCCTGGGACACACTGATAGATACACACAACTGAAAAGATTCCCCACATTTTCGCAGATGTCCTGGGTTGTTGTCTTCCCCCCCACTTCCCATGTTTTCCCATATGTTCTGGGGAATCGAAGATTAATGGTGTCTGTGTTTTTTTCCCTCCTGAATGTCGTCCTACAGGCGGACCCTGGAAGAAAAATCAAAGTAGCAAAATAATCGAAAATAAACAGAATAGCACGAACAATCGTCACCGTTGTTTTTTGACTCTGCTTGAACGTTCCTCCCATAGAGGGACATGCCCGACTGAAGTCTGGTGAAGGAAGAAGGGAAACGGCACAAACGAAAACGTTCCGAGGGAACACAACACAACATCAGAGATGGGAGAGACGACCAACTTCAAAGGGTCCCTGGTCCTTGGAGACTGCCGTGACTATATACGACAGGAACGATACTGGCGCTGCGCGCCGGGGGCGCCGCCAGCGTTGGCCTGGCGCAGATTAAAACAATCCGCGCGCGCGGAACCTCGAAGGTTTATGCTCATGCCGTCGTTCTTCTTCGCAGTATGCGAGCGCGTGGCCGCCCACGTCGTCCGACGCCGCGAGGGCATCGCTGGTCCGGAGCTCTGGACCCCACCCGAGTGCTCCCCCTCCCCGAGCGTGGAGCGTGGACCCCCAAAGGTCTGGACTCCTTCCCCCCCCGGGACCAGCCTCTCCTCCCGAAGCGCGCCGCCCGAGGCCGACAGCGGCCGAACGTCTCGCGCCGCGATCCTGCTCGCGACGCGCCCAGGGGATCGAGGAGCGGCGCCCGCCATGCGCAAACACGAAGGGCAACGACTGGAGGTACCGGCTCGTGCGAGCGAGCAGCACTTTTAGCCGGGACCGACCGTCCTGGCATTCCTATAGACCCACCAGGACATGTTCTTGGAACCAAGAGATGTTCGAATAACACAAAAAAAACAATGTTCTTAGAACGTAAGCCCGATGTGATAAAGCAAGACGGTCCCAGCCAGAAATGTTCTAAGAACATTATGTGGAAACCGGAACACTGTCACTGTTTGGTAGGGCTACAATCAAAAAACCCTGATAAGGACGCGCGGTGAGGACGCAAGACCCTTGGAAGCCGCAGTTGGGATTTCTGGGGCGGCGGACGACGAAAACCCCAAGCACGCAGGGGTACCCTGACTCAGCCCCCGAAAGAGCAAGGAAGAGTAAGGACGCAAAGGGTACCCTGAGCAAAGTCGCGCGTCATTATTAGGGTTTTTGACTGTAGGAGGACGAGGAGGAGGAGGAGGAGGAGGAGGAGGAGGAGGAGGAGGAGGAGGAGGAGGAGGCGAGCCCGGACGCTTCGCCGCTGCTGGAACCAGCCCGGAGTCGGCGGTGCGTCGCAGACGGCTCGGCGACGCGCCCCCCGAGGGCGAGCCCGCACGTTCCCCATGGGCGGGAGGGGCCCTCGGGCCCCTCTCGGCGACGACTGGGCGATCGGGGGCCGACCCGTCCCTGACTTGGCGGGATGCAAATTGGGGGATAGGTCCAGATGGGAAGAGAGGCGCAACCGAGGTACAAATTGTACCTACGCCCCACGGAGAAGGCACAATTTGCACCGACGCCACGCAGACAAGGTACAAATTGTACTTTTGACAACGTCCGCGACATGTGCGAGGATGTTAACGGGGGGGGAGAAGGTACAATTTGTATTTGCAACCCGCAGAGAAAGTACAAATTGTACCCCAACAAAACGGTGACGGATACTCATCCCCCCATGTCCTGATCCCCCCATCGCCATCCGGCCGACTGACTACCTACCAGACCACCCCAACCCAACCCGAAGACCCAAATCCTACCCGAATTTCGGGTTGGGTGGGGTACGGGTTCCAGATGTGTTTTCCAATGTTCCCCGACCCCCCCCCCCACCCACACTGGAAATGGAGGGCAAATTGAGGCCTTCGGGTTGGGTTGGGGTGGTTTGGTGGGTGGTGAGTCCCCGGCGGGCCTGTCCTCCTGTGAGGAGATGTTGCACTAAAACATAGAAATAGTACCCCAAAAAAGGACACACACAAAACAAATTCAGAAACAGAAAACTCAAACAAAAAAACGTCCCCTGACTCTGCTTTGACTACCTTTGAACACTCCTCCCGTAGAGGGACACGCCCGACTTCGCCCTACCTTTTTGGGGTCCTAGCTCGGACTTCTCCAACGGCCGTTCGGGACGAGCAGGGCACCCCCGGCTGATGCTCGCTCGGCGAGGCGCCGCTGCTGGAGGGCAGCCCGGGGCCGGACAGCCGCCGAGGACCAGAGAGAGACAGAACACCTCGAAGCCTCGAGCTCTTACGTTAGGTCGGGCGTGTTCTCGTGCAGGCGGATCTTGGGCCAAAGCTCAAAAGTAGTCAGAGACAAGAATACCCAAACATGCTCGAAACATCGTCCCCACCCCGATGCCGCGCTGCCCTTCCGTTTCCCTCCTCCTGCATGCCGGCCGATTCGCTGTAAATAGTGCCCTGCATCGCTGCCACGCTGGAGCGGATTGTCCCGCCTCGCTGCCGACGGAAAAAGCGTTTTGTTTCGCAAGATAATGCGAGATGTTCCTCGATGGTCTTCGCTGGGGAAAAATGCACACGTCCTAGCGATACCAAGGCACAGACATAATCTCTCCCAGGTCCTCGCAGACTTCTTGGATCGGCGCTGCATCCCCCTCCCCAGCGCGCGCAGCGCGCCATGGGCGGCGCGGGAAGCGCCGCGGGGGGGGGGGGGCCAGCGCCGATCCGAGAAATCCGCGCGGCCGTGCGAGAAAGTAACTGTTCAGGCCGTTTTGGTTCTTGGACTGAGGAGGCGAAGGCCCACCCCCACACCCGGTCCCGACGCCCACTCCAGGACGCGGGGGTTAACCAGCCTCGAACGTATCCCTATCCCTAAGATGGGCGAGCAAAAAGAGAGGACAATCTTAGGGATAGGCCTTCAGAAACTGAAGGAATCCTTAAGATCGGCATCGAGGCGAGGTGATGTCAAACATAGGGATACGGATATGTTTCAAACTGGTAAGGGGTGGGCCTTCGGGGTCCAGCAGAAGGCGAGACCCCCCCCCCACCCCAGCCCCGACCCCTCGAACCGCCGGCCCGGGAATGCGCGCCTGGACTGGGTGTGGGGAGGGCGGGTGTTCGCCTTCCGCTGTTCTGGCTGCGCCCTGCCCTCCCCCTGGTGTGCAGTGCGGTCGGGCACGGCTGTTCCGCGCATCTTGGAGGCGCGCACAGGGGGTGGAGGCTGCTTCTTAGGAGGCTGCTTCTTAGAAGGCTTCTTAGGAGGCTGCTTCTTAGAAGAGCTGCTTAGGAGGGCTTCTTAGGAGGCTGCTTCTTAGAAGGCGCCCCGGCCCTGCATCTACATGTAGATAAGGCCCGCGCCTCCTGAGAAGCAGGGGTGCTTCTGAGAAGCCCTCCCCCCTTCCCCTGCCCCCCTCTGCGCGCCGCCTGAAGGAGATGTTGGACTAAAACGAAAAATTGCACCCAAAACAAATAACACACACAACACATATGCAAAAACAAAGAACTCGAGCAAAAAACGTGCCCTGACTATGCTTTGAATACCTACTAAGCAGGGGTGCTTCTGAGAAGCCCTCGCCTCTCCCCGCCCCCTCAGCGCGTGGCTGAGCATCGCGGCGGCGGCCCCGGCGACGCGCCGTGCCGTGGAAGCGGAGGGCGCGTCGCGGCGCCGCTCCGCGGGGGGCGGGGGGGCCGAACAGCGCGGGCGCTGGCGCCTGGGGTGGGACAGGGGAGGTGTGCAGCTTCGGGTCGGGCAGGTCCTCTTTCCTGGGGCTTTCGGGAGACGAGCGAGAAAGAACCAGCAAAGAATCAAACTTGGTCCCAAATAGTCAAGACATCGTCCACCGACTATTATTTTTTACTCTTCTGGAGAATCCCCCTGTTGAGGGACATGCCCGACGTGAGGATGGCGTATCGCGCCGTATCGCGGTGGGCCAGCGATCGGCGGAGCGACAGGCTGTCCAAGAGTTCCCGACCGCAGTTCTATGATGCCCCTGCCCCACGGCCCTCGGCTTAAGTCGGGCGTGCCCCCCTACTGGGGGATTTTGGGTGACAAATAAAAAATCAAAAAAGACCCCCCCAAATATTCAAAAATCACAACAAAAATCGTCCCCTGACTATTTTTTGACTATTTTTGAAGATTCCCCCTGTAGAGGGACAGACCCGACTTAACCCTCGGCCAGAGTTCCCTCTCCCGCGATGCCAGGAGGTCGCGGGCGCTGCGCCCGCCTGCGGGGGGGCTGGGAGGGCGGAAGGCCGAGGGGTCGAGGATCGAGGTCCGGGGAGCAGCGAGGTTCGAGAATCGAGGGACTCAGCGAGGCTCGAGGCTCGAGGAGGACAGGGGTGCGAGGGTGCGAGGGGTCGAGGGAGGATCGATGGGGGGCCGAGGAGGGTCGAGGGTCGAAGAGGACGAGGATGCCGAGGTGGACCGGAGGACGAAGATCGAGAACCGGGAAGGATCGAAGATGATCCACGATCGAGGACCGAACAGATCGACGAGGAGCACGATGATGATCCAGGTGCAAGGAGCGAGGACCAACCAATGTGTTCCGACGTTCTTCGAACGGCAGGACCAGTCAGAACTGAATCGGGAAATCGGATGGAAACGATATGTGTCGGATCGGGCCGCATCGGCACGGAGTCGGAACGGAATCGGCCGCTCCAAGATGCACAACAGCGCCAGCCAGAATCGGTATATAATCGAATCGATCGGATAGAACTGGAGCCTGGGGGGAAGGAGGACGAGGAGAAGCGAGGCCCGAGGACCGAGGATATGATATGATAGGAGGGGCTGTGAGGGGGCGCGTCGGGGCAAGAGGGGTGTCGGCGGAGCCCAGGAGAGGGAGAAGTCAGAAGGGGGCAGGTTTTCTCAGAAGACGGCGGGGCTCCTCGGAAGCCACCCGGCCTCCTGCGAGAAGCCCTCTCTGCCTCCGGACAAGGACCTCGGGCAACCTCCCTGAATAGGGGAGCGAAGCATGACATAGATATAAGAACTCGGACCTCCGAGCTTTGATGTGTATGTCAGAGGGGGAGGGTGGGGTTCACTTCGCTCGGGAGCTCCCGAACGACGTGAACCTCCCCCCCCCCCCCCCCCCTCCGAGATCGTGGGGGTAGGGGTAGGGTTCGCATGTGGCCCCCTACTCGGAGGCGGAGGAGGAGGAAGCGGAGGAGGAAGCGGAGGAGGAGGCGGAGGAGGCGGAGGAGGAGGAGGAGGAGGCGGCGGCGGAGGAGGAGGAGGAGGAGGACCCTCCCTGCAGGCCGAGGCCTTCGGAGCCTGCGGGGGCGGCCCGCGGGCGCGCCCTGCGCTGGGCGCGCCCAGACGCCGACGGGCGGGGCCACGGGGCGGCCCCAAAGCGGCCGCGCCCGCGGCGGGCCCCGCGGCGGGCGGACGGGCACGCGGCGCGCGGCACGCTGCCATAGACACGTCCCCACGGCGTGCAAACGCGGCGGGGGGCCTCCTCTCGGGAGCGGCCAAGGAGGGGATCCAAGAGGGGGGGGTGCAAGAGGGGGGGGGGTCCAAGAGGGGGGGGTGCAAATCAGGACCGGCGGCACGTGCGCGGCCCAGCGCGGGGGGGGGGGGGGGCCAGGGACGCAGTGGAATAAGAAGAGGCGCCATGACATCTGGGGAAATATCCTGGCCCCCGCCACAGTATCCAGCCCCCCCCCCCCTAGTCATCACCCCCCTCTTTGCCGCCCTAGTCATCACCCCACGGTATCCCCCCCCCCTTAGTCATCACCCCCCCCTTTGCCGCCCCCGATCCTCCGGCAGCTGCACGGGCGGCGGGCGGGCCGGTTTCCAAGAGCGGCTCTCGCCCGACGCCCGCCTGCCAGCCCGAGGGAGGGAGGGAAGGGCACCCTGGCGCGGCCAAGGGGCGGGAGAGGAGTGGGCGACCTGGGTTTGGTCCGGCTCTCCTTCCAGGGGATAAGCCCGGGACTGACCCTACAGGAATCTTCTTCTTCACTCCTGGCGCGGGGAAAGTTCACCGTTCACGGAGAGACCTCCAGCTTGCAATCCAGCCAGCTGTTATCACGGACGGAGGGTCTCCTGATCAGAGTTCCCCTAAGCCGCCCGGCCACTTTCCCCGCCCACAGGAGTCTGAGAAACGTAGCGGGGGGGGGGCAAGCGACGAAAAAAACGTGGCGGCAATTTGGTACAAGCCATTCTTCTCCTTTTCCACTAGGAATGCGTTCGCTCCGACGCTTGATCCCAGATAACGGCGGGCCAACCATGTCGAGACGGCATTGTGCGGGCGATCGAACAGCTCTGGCGGAGCGAAGGAACCGAAAAAGAGGGACCCCCTCTGGCACATCCTCAAACTGTATAGAATACCTGGCCGCCCCCCGGGAGGAGGCGCGCCAGGCTGGGTGGAGGCACCCCCTGGGCGTAGACCTCGTGCCGCGGACGAAGTGTCCAGATGCCTGAAGCCTGGCGACCAGCCTCGGCGAGAGGTGCGGCACCAAGGTCAATGGAGGTCAGGACGTGGAAGGAGCGGCCCTGGACTGGGAGGTGGGGGCGGAGAGGGGCGGAGACGCCTTCAGGGCGCGCGGTCTACCCGAACTGCGCCCCGCCACTCAGCCCCGAGCCGCTCCCGCCTCCTCGCCGGCCGCAGCGGTCTCCGCGGCGTCCGAGGTGACGGCGCCTCCTCCTCGCTGGCTTCCTGCGCTGCCTCCCCCTTGCGTGGCTCAGCGCGTTGCATGCCCCTTGCTTGCTATCTTGGACTTGGGCCCTCAGCACCAGGCCTTCTTGTCGGCTGGCGCGGGGGGCGCGGCGTGGGGCTCGTTCGCCGTCAAGTCCTCGTCCGCGCTGCCCCCGTTGCTCTTGCTGGCCTTGCTGCCCTGGGCGCTCTAGTCTTCGCGCCCCCCCTCAAGCTCGGCGGCGGCCCCGGCTGGCGAGCGCCCCCGCGGTCGTCGACGGGGCGCTGTGAGCGCGCGCCGAGCCCTGGCGGTGGACCAAGCGGCCGCGGCGGCCTGCTCCCCGACGGCGGGCCAAACGGCCGCGGCGGCCTGCATCGCGGCCCGGGCGACCGAGCGCTGCCCCAGGCCGGGGCGCTGTCGGCCTGCAAGGGGTCTTCGCCGAAGCCGGGCCTGGAAGGCAAGACCGCGTGCCTGCAGAGGCGGCGGCGCGCAAGGCGGCGCTCGCGCGTCCGCGCGCGAGTCCAATGCGCCGAGGGGCGATGCGCGAAGGCCATGACTTTGGGGCGAACGACCTCGCCGTCGACCCGGGGGCGAACGTCCGCGTCGATGTCGCAGCCGCGCAAGCTGCGCACCTCGTGCCCGAATGCCGCCCTCAGTCGATAGTCCACGTTCCAGTCGCTGCACAGGACCAGGCGCGCTGCGGACCCCGGCAACGGCATGGAGTGCCAATGCCAAATGCACCCTGCCGCCTCCGCCGCGTCGGACACCGAGGCTGACAGTGAAAGCGGGCGAGCTGCCACTTCTTCGGCGCTGTCCTCAGCCCGCTCGCGGCCCGCCCCCGCGCAGTGGTCGGCCTCCCGGCAGACCTCTGGCGGCGGCGGCGCCGTCAAGACCGAGGGCGCGCGCGCGAATTGCTTGGCGCCTCGAGCCTCGGGCGCACTGGGCGAGGCCATGCCGAGTGGCCATGGGCCGCGGAGCTGCCGCGCAAGGCGGGGCCGGGGCTGCGCTGGCGCGAGCGGGGCGGAGGCGAGACCCAGCGGCCTCGGCGGCGCTGCACCTCTACCACGTCGGGGCCCCGCGACGGAGGTGGCGACGAGAACCGCCCGCGGCGGTCGCGCCACTTGGACTCCGCTGCCGGCGGCCGCAGGGGCGCTGCGGGCGGCGGCCCCGTGCGCGGCTCGCCTGGTGGGCGCGACAGTGGAGGGGCACCGCCAGCTGCTGCTGCCGGTGCATCACTTGCGCGCCGTGGCGCGCTGGTCCTGATGATGGCGAGGCCTGCCGCTTGGGCCCAGCGGCGGCCTTCCGGAGAGTTATGGCCGCGCGCGCAGCCCGCTTGGGCACGCACGCAGGCCCTGCGGGGGCCGACAGGCGCAGGCGCGCGCACAGGCGCCCAGCGCCGCGCGCGCCCCGCGCACGGGGGGACAGGCAAGCGGCCGCAGATGTCGCACACGCATGCCCACGTACGCATTTCGCATCGTGCACAGCTGCGCACGCCGCCCACTTCTCACTGTGCCATAGCCGAGTCCATACAGACCCGGCCGGTACTATCTTCCCGGCCAAGACCAGGCAACACTCTCAGCAATGAGCTTGTCGACCATGGCCGATCTGAAAGCAAACATGCGATCTCCAAGTGGGCGATGAGAAAGAAGAGACTGGTGTTGGCCAGCCCGGACTGAAGCAGGGCGGTCGCACAGCCCCCTGCTTATCACAACCCTCCGCGTGCTGACACTCATGACCTGATGGCATGGAAAGCGTGCCCGCGGCGTTGAGGGGTGTGGCGCATGGGATATGGCAAATTGTCTGCGGTGCCCGCTGGAGACGCAGCGGGACGTTGCGCGATCGACGCGGCACGCCGCGAGTCCATCCGCAGTCATATCACGGGCTCCCAGCTCGGAGCCGATAGCTGGCCCGGGTACGGGAGGCCTCGAAGCCGCAAAGAGTGCGGCAGCAGTGAATGTCCTGGAGGAGGGTTGAGCCTGGCACTGTGAAAGGCCATCGCCCGCGCACCCGATCACGCACTGGTCGAGCGCCGCCTTTGTGTCACCGTGGATGTAGTGCTCCGAAGATGTCCGCAGTACCCCGCCGCTGCCCAGGAAGGGCCAGGGGCCCAGAGCTCACAGAGTGAAGCATGCGTGTCGGGAGCGATTGGTAAAACAGATGACGAACTCCGCTGCGATGCCCTGGCATGCGGAGCTGCACCGGCAGAAGTGGCCAGGCCTCCTCCCGCTGACGAGGCCATTGGATCCGATGCTACCACCAACTTGGGAGAGCCCAGCCGTAGCCGCCGCGGCCGCTTCCGACCACCTTGGGAAAACCGGCCGTGTAGGGACCTAGGCACGCAGGGCGGCCGTCGTCCTCGCCCACTACGATGTTGCTGGCGTCCTGCGGTACCTGCTGGGGTTGGTGGGGGCGCCTGCTCCACTATGATATTCGGGTCCTCCTGGTGCCTCGGCGTCATGGTCGGCCCCTCACCACTGTCGCCGGCTGCCGCGCGGAAGGGCAATCGGCGCTGGCTTGAGGGGGGCTCGCCCGCGCTGGTGCTGCGCTGCTGCCTCTCCCGCGCCGGCCTGGATGCTGGTGGTGCGGCCTCGCCCGCACCTGGTGCTTGGCCAGGGCTGCGACTGCGGTCGGGCTGCCATTCTGCGCTCTGGCCAGCCATTGACGAGCTCGGCCGTGCCGGCGACCGACGTAGCGATCTGGCCCTCATGGGCCGCCATGCGCTGCTGGTCTGCCGAAGTGGCCGCCACATGTTTGCCTTCAGTTGGGGGCGGCGTTGACTGAGTGCCCCGCTCGAACAGCGGTACGCCCGCGTAGCGGTCTGCACAGGCGCCTCGTCGATGGACTCGGGCGCCTAATAGGCCGCGCTTGCTGCCGCCGCTGGCGGCGCCCAGGCACCCTGCTTCGGGTAGGCGCAGAAGTCGGCCATCTCGACTGCACCATGAGTTCGGTGGTGTAGTCAAGGTCCCCCTGTGCCTTGGCCGTGTCCGCCTTCGCCGCTTCGGCTGCCAACGCCGCTGCCAGTTCGGCGTCGCTGGCGACCGTGAGCGCTGTGTTGGCCCTGTTGACGGAACCTTCCTGCTTCTCCATGCGCAGGTCCGGGTCCTTGGATATGATCACCTGGCGGCTCAGCGCCACGAACTCCTCCTCGGCTCTCCTGAGGTTACTCGGGCTCGCGTTGGGCATGCTGCGCAGTGCATTGACATTCTCGGAGGCCGCGGCCATGGCCCTCGTGAGCGCATCTCGATACACGTTCAGCCCTGTGGCGATGGGCGGCGGCATGATCCAGCTGTGCTGCTGGCGTGCCTGGACTGGGGGCATCGGAGCGATGCCCAGGATCTCCGTGCTCCCCGCGCGCACTTCTGCTGCCCCTGCCTTTGGCTGCGTGGCCGCCTTCCCCGCCGCCTTTGCCCCGCGGCGCTCCTCTGAGCGGGCCCTCCGGGCCTCGGCCCAGAGCCTCGCTGCTTGGGGCGGCCTCTGCCCTTCCCGCGCAGCTCCGCGGCCGCGGCGCGTGTCGGCGGGCCTCTGGCACGAGCAGCGCCCTTGGCCCGAGCAGCGCCTCGTCTGCCGGCTGGCCTGCCGCGAGGGCTCGCGCCGCTGGCCACACCTCGCGGTGCTGCTGCGGTGGCGGTCCAGCAGGCCCGCAGCCGCTCCCGGCCGCAGCAGCAGGCGGGCGTACGCCCTCGGCCTGCGGCGGCGGCGAGGCCAGGCGGGGCCCACGTCGGGGGCGCACCCTCGCTGGGGCGGGATGGCGCGCGCCGCCCTGGTCGCGCGACCGCGGAGGCGCCGCAGGCTGGAGCCCAAACGGCTACGGAGCAGGGAGGGGGAGGGAGAATGAAGAGGGGAGGGAGGAGGAGGAAGAGGAAGAGGATGAGGTTGAGGATGGGATGAGGAGGGGGAGGAGGAGGAGGAGGAGGAGGAGGAGGAGGAGGAGGAGGAAGAGGAGGAGGAGGAGGAGGAGGAGGAGGAGAGAGAGAGGAGCAGGAGGAGGAGGAGGAGGAGGGGAAGGAGAAAAGACAAGGAGGAGAACATGGAGTCTGAGGAGGTAGAGGATGAGGGAATGGAGTAGAAGGAGGAGGAAAAGGAGGAGGAGGAGCGTGACCTGAAAAAGAGGAGGAGGAGGAACAGGAGGAGGAGGAGGTGGAGAATGAGGAGGAGGAGGAGGAGGAGGAGGAGGAGGAGGAGGTGAGGAGGAGGAGGAGGAGGAGGAGGAGGAGGAGGAGGAGGAGGAGAGAGGAGCCGAAAGAGGAGAAGGGAGGAGAGAACGAAAGGGAGGAGGAGGGCGGAGGAGTAGACTAGGGAGGAGGAGAAGAGGGCGGTGCAGCGAGCGGGAGGACCCGCCCTCGAGGAGCTCAGGGGAGCTCCCGGATGCGCACGGACGACGGCCCGAGGCCGTGGTCGTCCTCCTCCTCGTTCCGGTCGTCCTCGCCGGGCCGGCCGAGGCGCGACCCAGGGCAGCCGCGAGTGGGAGGAGGAGGAGGAGGAGCAGGAGGAGGAGCAGGAGGAGGAGGAGGAGGAGTAGGAGGAGGGGGAGGAGTATGAGTATGAGTACGAGTATGACCATGTGACAAAGTCAGCTGTGCCAACCTTACGTGACGAATTACACATGAAGGCATGACTATACACGGCCACGGCTCTGCTTCTCACGTGCACTTTAAACCTTAGGCCATAGACCACGCGAAATTCGATCGAGATATACAGCTCGATGAGTGGTGACACGCTTGGTACAGGCCTTGCCAAGTTCACGTAGGACGTCGGAGGCAAACGAACCGCATAACTTACAAAACCAGAGCTTAAGATGTGTATGATACTGCATGACATGAGATTGATCCACCCACCCACCCGCTATGTGCAGACGAGCCTGGGGGGGCTTATAAAGGATGGACCCATTATAGTTGACGGGCTGGAAGCATTCTGACTGGCGCCACTTGGTTGCAGCAGCCCTGCCGGCCGAGCCTCCACAACAAGTGCACCTCCTCCCACTCTCATCGAGAGCGTGAGAGGTAGAGAAGAGGGAGAGGGCAGCAGCAGAGGGAGGACGGGGGACGGAGGAGGATGATGCTTTTTCCTGAGCGCCAGGGGCCGCATCGGCCTCCATCGCGTCGATCGTCGCCCTCAGCAGGCGCAGCCGCACAAGCCTCGCTCTCCGCTCATGAATGAGTATGCGCTGGCGGAGAGACTCTGGCAGACGAGCAGCGCTGGCCGCGGCTCCTGCCACGACATCAACAACCGCGTTGCCAGTGACCGCCCATCTCGGAGCGGCCCCAGCCTGGATCTCCGCACCCCCGAGGTGGGAGTGCACGAAAATCAAAGAGACTGAATTGAAACCACGCTCCTGGCTGAGTTGCCCGAGCTGAGCCCACAGGTCCGCGTCGGGCCCGCTCGGGCACTCGAAACGCCTGGCGTACCAGCCTTTGATGACAGGCTCGCAATATGTGACATACGTGATGCAGCCGCTTGTAGCCCAAACAGCTAGAAGCAGGCTCCTCAGCTCTCCACGGGGGACAGCTTGCCTGTCACCGCAGAGTGGCCCACTGATGGTCCTAGCTATGGACACTGTGGGCTCCAGCTCATGGAAAAGTGCGATGGCACACCCGATGCGACGAAACTTGGTGACAGCAGTGTCGGGGCCACCACTGGCGTCGCCAAAGAGCAAAAGAGGAGCTTGGCCCGTGCCATGTCCGAGGCATCCTGGGCCAAGCTCAAAAGGACCTGTGACAACCCAAGCCTCCTCGCGGGCAGGAGGTGGGGCGGCCACCCAAGGGGTAGGTAGCAGCCCCCTTAGCCAAAAAGCAGGCTCAGCCTCCGCTTGCACGGTGGCCTGGTACACGAGATCCTCTGTCATGGTGTACGCCTCCTTATTAGTGTTGAAACTGCACGTCCAAAAGCGATGGAGAGGCGTCTCAGGCTCACGCTGGCATCGAGGACACTTGTCGGTGCCAGCAAAGCGTGGAATCTCAGCCTTCTTCCTTGTACGCGTCCACGTGCTGCCAACTGCGACCGACAGCATAACTTCACTCAGCCGATGACCGATCTGTGGTACGTCATGTAATTGCTGTATTAGAACACGATAGGAGTCTGCATCAGATCCGTCCTGCAATCCTTCACCACAGTGGTGCCGACTAGCCTGCTGCCAGTACCGTCGCTGTCGTACCTCCGAGAAATCCTTGAGGAAACCTGCATGACTGTCCAGAGCCTTCACTCCAGTGTATATCACATCATCGAATCTCCACTCGTCACCAGCAAACTCATGAGGCTCAGGGACACCCCACCCAGTAGCCGATGATACAGACCATCCAGACTCGATAAGATGCAAGACGGCTGCGGAGACTGGCCCTCGGACGTACTTGGTGCGGTGCCGTTCTGGAACTCCTTGAAGCTGCTGCACCACTGTCTGCCAAATGCGAGATACCCCTGACCGCACATCAGGATGATCACGCCATATGGATAAATACATGTCTAGCACTGCACTGGGAGCTTGACGCCTGGGTCCTGCTGCGGTGCTCGGATCGCCAACAGCGTTGTCAAGCACCTGCCTCGCGTCGGCGCCGCGCATGCAAGACCCAGTCGTCGCCGTGCCTGCACCAGCCGCTGGCCGAAGGTCCCGTGCACATGGAAGCCGCAGGTGCCCGCGGCCTGCGCGCCCTGGAGCTCCAGGCGGCGCGTTGCCTTGTAGCGACGCGCCGCCATGGCGAACCTCCCGATCTTCAAGCCCATGCCCTTGTGCTTAGCGTCCCTCTTGTTGCGCGTGGAGCGTGCAGCACGAACAGCGCAGCTGAGGTCCACTCCAAGGAAGCTCGCCTGGGACTGGGCCGCGATGTGATACCCAGCCTGTCGAACAGCACTCGCCACCCATCTGGCATCGGCAACATCAGTACACATGACCACCGACTTCGGGGACACCCGCAGCTTGCTGGCCTCCAGGGGCCTGCAGGTGTCCAAGATGCAGGCCTTCAGCCCGCGACGGGCGTGTGCCCGTGATCCTCGTACCTGCTGTGAAAGGTCGTCAACCCACACTCGATGGCTCACCAGCGGATGCTCCTCGACAGCCCGCTTCAGCACGAAATGAGTGAGCGTCCGACCGAATCTAGTGCCCGACCGCAGCCCTTGGACGATGCTGCGCGCGGGCTGGAATGGGGCGGATGTCGCCCCCAACTGGCTGAGCACCCTCGGCGACGCGCACTGAAGGAGCTCCATGTGTAGTATCACGGGCGGGAAATGCATCTCCAACGCGGAGTCGACCAGGTAGGGCCACTCGACCGAGTCGTAGAAGCCATCGATACCAACTAAGCCATGGCCTACATGAACGTCCAAGTGGCCACACACCTCCTCCTGAATAGCTCGGAGATGCGCTTCTCTCACACTGGAATTACCTCGCACCGCAGCATCCCAACGTTCCTCCGTCTCCGCCGACCACCCTCGCACCAGCGGTTCTCTGATCAAGGACCAGGGGCGGCCGAGCAGCGGAACCAAACCGATGATCCGATCTCCTTGCACCTTCTTGGGGGGCACCCTCCCCAAGATCAACAGAAGCTGGCCAGGCCAGCACACGCAGGCCTCGCACGCTGCGAACAGCAGCGCAAGTTCAGCCAGCGTCGTGTCTGGTAACCTCTCTAGGTCGACTGGCGATAAGAAATCGACCCCCTGTCCTGTGGATGCCTTCATCTGCTTCAACGCCGTCCTGATGTCGCGCACGCTGATGGGCTCCAGCGGATCGCCTTCCACAGCGTCCTCCACTCTCTGGAAGACTCTCATGACCATGGCCCCGTCGAGTGGAGCGGGTGCCCACTTGTCGTGCCACTCGGTTGACTTGGCGTCGATGATGTCGCGAGGGTGGCAAAGAACCTGGCCCTGATGCTCGTGCTCAAGATCCACCAACGGGGTAGGACGTAAGGACCGATGCAATATCCCCAACGACTTATCGTCAGCCACAAGCTTCTGAAACTCACACAGGGACTGCTGGGTGGCCCTCCTCCGCGCCCGACCGCAGATCCGTGTTCCTCCATGTGCGAGGCCGTCCAGCATATACACGGAGCACGCACCGATACCAGTAGGAGCAGCCTGCCACTCATGCCACTCGAGGTCTTTGCCTGGTAGAAGAACAGTACGCGCACGCTCAGGACAGGTCTCAGCGTGTCTCTTGACCGAATCACGATAACGTCGTTGCTGGGCCTCCCCGTTGTTCTTCCGACGGTGAAGCGCCAGCGCGCACAGTAGTGCATGTAGTTGTGTCCACCAGCCACTCAGCCGATCCCGCAAGGGCGGCGCACGGCTCCCGGCTGGCATCTTCAGCTCCTGCACCACGAAATGCACTCCAGCTGACCTGGGAGGCCCATCGGGCAGCGCGACCCCATGGTGACTGGCAATCGCGGATTCAGCAGAGGACACCCAACTGGCGTAGAGGCCTGAAACTAGAGACACATGTGCTGGTTTGAGCCTAAAGGCTACGGAGGAACGCAGGGCAGGGCAAAGAGGGCCAAGGGACGGAGATCCAGACATAAAACCTACCTCCTGACGGACCCGCTCCCACGCGGCCTCAGGGATGTGGAAGGTCGGAACATTCTGGTCAGAGCTCGACCCATGCTCAGGAGAGGCCTGTTGTTGCACATTACTGTCAGCCGTCTCCGAGCTACTTGCAGCACAAGAACGTTCATCCGAGGCCTCTGAGGCCTCGGGCCGACTTGGATGCTGGGAGTCCAGGATCTCGTCGGTCGGCAGACGGCCAACCAAGGGAGTGCCCCTAGGGGCCAGACCAGGGAGAGGGCCAGTGGAGGCCCCCCCGGCCCCAGGGCCCTGGACCCCAGGACCACCTGGACCCCCAGCGTGAGAAATACCTTCATGCAGGGCCGCGCTGAGGCCAGAATCGGGGCAGAAGTTGAGCTCCTGAGCCCACGGGCCCTCCTCATCCTGCAGCCCTTCAAAAAGGCCAAACCCAAACTCACACTCATCAAAATCTACATCACCAGCTCCAGCAGAAGCGAGCCCACCCCTCGAGCTCTCCGCTGCAAGCTGTTCCCTTTGAGACTGAACACAATCCCCATACAAGGTGTGAAACTTGTCATTCCTAGAAGTCACTGCTATCTGCCGCTGTGCCACCCTACGTGCACGAGCAACACTCGACTTCGAACCAGGAGTGGGCATACAGGACGGGCGCGGAACCTGGGGCAGGCGCCCTGGAGCCTGCATAACTCAAGTGACAAGCCGCTGCCCAGAGTTCCTAAAACGAACCTCCAAACCTATGTGGGGCCCCCAGGGGGCTGACTCAATAGGAAGCACCTGTATAATGAAGGGCCTAGCCGCAATACTACACATGATGTAATCTCTGTGTATGCCTGTGGACAAAAGGCAAGTGGCTTCAACACCTGCTGCCACTATCATACCACCAATCTTTTGCAGGAGCCCTGTTTTGGCCAGTGCAGCAGGGCTCGTGTTGAAATCCCAAATGACATGCCATGGGAGCTGAAGAGCATGCAACAGTGCGGACAGCCGCTGAAATCTGCCTACGTTCGCTCATCCCAGCCCCATGCTGTGGAAGGCGTAGAACTTGATGACCACGATCGAAAAGCCGTGGAAATTGACGAGCATGACAGCGGAGCCGTCCAGCGCCTTGTGAGACGGCGCCATGAGCCTCGAACCTGCGGCTCGGACGGCTGGTAACCTATGGGCGCGAAGATGATTCTTAGCAAGTAGCCATTCACTACCTTCGTTGGTATGCTCTTCCTGCGACAAAGAAACATGCCTGTCGCGAGGTCGGGCTGGATTGAAAACTGTTCGTAGACCACGACCCCTGGCCTTACCTTCCCAACGACGCAGAGCAGCCTGCTGATGCACATGCGTCTCCACTACTGCATAGACATCGTAGTCAGAGTTCTCGATGTACGACCAGGCTTTGCCCCCCATGCAGGATACATTGGCATAGAATAAGCGGGATACGCCATTATTGCACTTCCCGTTGACAGCGGCAGGCTCATGCGCACCTGGCGCCGCCTCAGCACTTGGCGTTGCAGAAGCGAGTCACGAGCTGGAAGCCCCAGCCCCACCTGAGCTAGCTGCCGTACTCGCAGGCGCCTGGCCTCTGCCCTTGCCGTTCTGCCGCTGGCCCTGCACGCCCTTGCCGACGTGCTGCTCCGCCATGAACTTGGCTGCCGAGAGCCGCTGCGCCTCGGCGTCGACCTCAGCAGACTGGGCTGCTGCCGCCTGCGGGGCCGCGGCGGCCTCGGCCGTGGCAGCTGCGCCACTGGCCGCCTCAGCGCGGGGCTCGCCCGCAGGGGCCCCGTCGCCGCCGCCTCCGCCAGGCGCAGCAGCAGCTCCATCGCCACCAGCACCTCCATCCTTGGAGTCCACCTTCCGCTTCTTCGCGAGGCGCTCGGCGATCTCCGCACGATACTTCTCCGTGCGAGTCAGTCAGTCTCGCACCTCAGACTCTTTGGCCGTCATCTCCTTCTCCGTGGCCAGCAAGCGCTCATGGATCTCCTTGAGTCCTGCGCGCTCGCCCTCCTCGCACTCCAACTCATCCAACTTATTGAAGAAATCAGAATCCCATGAGATGTGGAAGATGCGCTTGTCCTCATTGGCCTTCATGGCCGTGTCGCCACCGTCAGCTCCAGCAGCGCTGCCCACGCCCTCGGCGCGCGCAACGGCCGCGGCCGCAGCCTTCCTGGCGAGGGCTGCCTGGGCCAGCTGCTTGGACAGCTCCGCCTCCTTGATCTCCGCCGCTTCGAAGGAGCCTCGAAGACGCAGTACGTTGGACACGGCCTGGGAGTGCTTGTGGTCCGCGTCGCGATACACTCCATCCGCACGTCGTAGCAACTCCACTGCAGAGGTATCCTGCTGCTTGGATTCCTCGGCCTCACGCTCCAGCTTGACGACCTGCTGCTGCAGCGTGTTCTTCAGCTCATCATCACATGTGGCCGCCGCGGCGCGGGCCAGCAAGGAGGCTACCTCAATGGGGCTGCCGTCCTCTGCGGGCTGCTCGCGCCACGGCGGCTTCTTGCCACTGCCACGCCCTAGGCCACTCCTGCCGCCAGCCTTCTGGCCGTGCGCTGGCGAGGAGCTCCTTGAGGCGCGGAGGATCCCCTTCGGGTGCACGAGGGTGGTCTCCTCCTTCTCGTCCAGATCAAACTGCACCTTTGGCCCTGTGGTGGACTTGGGACGGAACAGCACAACTTCTTCCCCACATTGACCGCAGATGGATCAGTTACGAACCAAGACACTGTTGTACTCGCAAGTCTGGCATCCCGTACAGCGCGACCACAGCCGAGCACCTGGCGCCATGGCTGCGAAAGATACTAAGAATGAGTTCTCTCCTGCTCTAGTCGGTGCCGTACAATCCCTCGGCGGGGTGCACGGGCAAAGTCCCTCAAGCGCTTCGTGAAAACACAGGAGAATGAGCCCCGCCAAAATGGTTCGGGCCCAAGTGGCTTGAGCGGAGGAGGGGGAGGAGGATTAGGAGGAGAAGGAGGATGAGGAGGAGGAGGAGGAGAAGGAGGAGGAGGAGGAGGGGGAGGGGACCTAGACAGGTCCCCGACGGGGAGCTGTTTCCAATCCCGGCATCGTTCCTCGATCTCGGCGGCCTCTGGGGCCCGTCGTCGGGTCCCAGGACCACCAAACATGGATCCTGGACGAGATCCCCGATCATCGATGCGGTATCCTCGATCCTCGCCCGACGTCGATCCTCGATCTCGGGATCCAACATCCTTGACCGACGTCGATCGTCGATCTGCAAATGCTTGAACGTCGACCGACGACCGTCGTCGACCCTTGATCTGGAGATTCTCGATTCTCGACCGACGTCGATTCTCGATCTGGAGATCTTTGATCAACGTCGATCCTCGATCCTCAAGACTTGGCACGCCCAAAATGAATACGGAAGCAATGGCTACGATGTCCAACAGCCAACGTTGTCCAAACCCGACTGCGGCCTCGGATGGGAAAATGACCTTCTGTCTCAAACGGAAAACGCCCACGGCGACGCGACGCCGACAGCGAGCCAGGTGCAAAATGGGCAAGAACTGCTGTCGTTCTGTGTTCCCAGTCCTTCCGAGTGCGCCCGTGCCGATCCTCGGTCCTCGACCGAGGTCAATCCTCGATATGGAGATCCTCGATCCTCGATAGAGGCCGATCCTCGATCTAGAGATCATCGACCCTCGATCCTCGATCGGCGTCGAGCCTGAGAGGCAACGATTGGCGGGGACTGGCTCGGGGGGAAACATCGGCCTGGAGTCGGCGGCGATGCATCACCGAAGGATCGACGATAGGTCCCCCCCCGACAGCGTATCCGCACGCTCCTGTGCGGGCCAGGCGGCGCTATCGGGCCCCCATCGCCCATCTCTGGGCGATCGGGGGCCTGGGTAGGCATCCCCCCCCCCGTTCTGAGTCTCTGCCCCCCCAACGTTGCCTCTGAGGTCCTGGATCCTCGATCCGTGCGATCGCTGGAGGATATTCGGGTCGGGCGAAAGGGGGGGATAGCAAAGGGGGGGTCTGAGAATCAGCTCACGCAGCTGATTTTCCCGGCGCCTCCCGGCGCCGGAGGCGGACATGCATCGAGGACTGGGCCCCTCGGTGAGGCCGAAACCGGCTGCATGCAGCAAATTTCGTACCCCCCTCCTTTCCCACCCCCCCCCTTTGGGGGGCGGAAAGATACGGATACGTGTTGTCCCCGGACCTCTCTTGGGGTGCGTTCTGATCAGAATTTCGAGGCGAATCCAGCGGTGACAATGAGGATTCCCCAGGAGGACCAGGAAAGGCCGAAAACGAGGCAGGAACGTGTCGTAACCCCCCCTTTCCCAATCCCCCCCTTTCGCCCCGCCCGAGATGGGGCGCGATCTCGACGGAGACCGGCAGGCGCCTGGCTCCGAGGCCGCGCAGAGGAGCGGCACTGCGAGGGGCCGCGGCCCGCGCGGCCCCGCGCCCCGTGCGCGCCGGCCCCTCTCTGGGCCGGACGCGGCGCGCCGCGCCGCGCCTCGCCTCGCCTCGCGGAAGGGGCCCCAGGACACACAAATAGAGACACACAAATGAGAAGATCCCCCTATACTTTCACACATCTTGCCTGGGTTCTTGTCTCCCCCCCCACTTCCCGTATCTTCCCATCTTTTCCTGGGAGTCGACGATTCATTGTGTCTGTGTGTTTTTGTCCCCTCCTGACTCGCCCCGATCCGCGAGGTCCTCGCTCGGCCGACGGCGGCGGCGGGCGGCGGCGATGGCGCTGGCCGGGCTGGTCCTCGCGGTCGCGGAGGGCGGCGTGCGCCAGGCTCACGCCGCCGCTGCAGAGGGCGGCCGACCAGAGCACCTCGCGGCGTGTTCGTGCCCCCACCACAGCGTACCCCCTCCATTTTTCTTCGTTCCACCACCCTTTATGAGCACACAACACCTGTCGACTTAAAACAACTTCGAATGACAGCCGACCCGAAACCGCGCGGCCCACCGCGCAATCCACACCAGCCTCATCCAAAACGTCGTCGCGGTCGTCGTCGCCGTCGTGGTCGTGGTGGTCGTCGTGGTCGTCGCCGTGGTCGTCGTCGTCGTCGTTGTCAACATGGTCGACGTGGGGTCGTGGTCGTGGTCGTGGTCGTGGTCGTGGTCGTGGTCGTCGTCGTCGTGGCGGCGGTGGTGGTGGTCGTCGTCGTCGACGTTAGTCGTCATCGTCCTCGTCATCATCGTCATCATCAGCAGCATCATCAGCATCATCGTCATCAGCATCATCATAATCATCATCATCATCCTCAACATCATCAGCATCATCATCCTCATCATCAGCAGCATACACCACTATTACCACCATCATCATCGTTATCAACAGCATCAGCATCACCATCACCATCACCATCATCATCATCATCAACATCATCATCATCATCATCAGCATCATCATCATCATCATCAGCATCATTGTCGTCATCATCATCATCATCATCACCATCATCATCATCATCATCATCATCATCATCATCATTGGCATCGTCGTGGTCATCGTCGTCGTTGTTCTCGTCCTCGTCCTCGTCGTCGTCCGCATCCTCCACCTCTCTTCCTCCTAGATCTCCGAAGGCACGACTTTGATACGTCCGGCGTTTGTTTCTCGTCCTCCACCTCTCTTCTTCCCAGATCTTCGGCAGCATGACCTTTTCACTCCTCTGGGGCCCGCTACCAAGCCCCAGCACAAGCAAACATGATCCCAGGGCGAAGAACTACCTCAGGGGGTCGGGACCTGATGAGGCCGCGAACTGCAAGAACACATCGCCCCGTCAGGTGTTTGGGAGCATGGATCAGTCAGCACCGGACGCGCCGTTTGGGCGGGACGAGCGTCTCTGCTGAGATGTCCTCACCCTTTGTGCGATCTGAGGCCTGAAGCTGCCGGCGGCTGCACGGCTGCAGAGCGGATGGAGCACGAATGGCCGCCTCCTCTCCTATCTATCTCATCCCCCTCCTCATCCCCTGAACCCCCTCCTCCTCCCCCTCCTCCCTCTGCCCCCTCCTCTCCACCTCATCCCCCTTCTCATCCCCCTCACCCTGCCCATGCCCCTCCCTCACCCTCTGTCCTACTCCTCCTCCTCCTCCGTCCTGCCCCCTCCTGCTCCCCCTCCTCCTCCTCCTCCTCCTCCTCCTTCTCCTCCTCGTCCTCCTCGTCCTCCTCCTCCTGCGCCTCATCTCATCCTCGTCATCCTCCTCCATCTCCTTCTCCCCCATCAATCTTCCATCCCTGCCTCCCGCGTTCCTCCTCCCCCGCGCGCGGGGACGACGGGTCCCCCAGTCCTCCGTGCACTCCAAGCCCGGCCTCTGACACATAGAAAGCCCACGTCGTGGGACCCTCCTGGTTTCGAAACGTGACGCAAAGAGGCCATATGGATGTCAGGGATCCCTGCTGCTCCCACTGCTCCTCTTCCTCCTCCTCCTCCTCTTCCTCCTCCTCCTCCTCCTCCTTCTAGTCCTCCTATTCCTCCTTCTCCTTCTCGCCCTCCTCCACCTCCTCCTCCTCCTCCTCCTCATCATCATCATCATCATCAACAGAAACGTCACCAGCATCATCGTCATCGACATCACCACCACTCATCAACAACAAAAAACAGCATCATCATCATCATCATCATCATCATCATCATCATCATCATCATGATCATCACCATCACCATCACCATCACCATCATCATCATCATCATCATCATCATCATTACCAACAACAGCATCATCATCATCACTATCATCATCATCCAAATCAGCAGCATCATCCTCATCATCATCACCATCATCATCATCATCATCATCATCACAATCACAATCATCACCACCATCACCACCATCACCATCACCAGCACCAGCATCATCATCATCAGCATCATCATCGTCATCATCGTCATCACCATCCTCGTCATCGTCGTCATCATCTTCATCATCGGCATCATCATCAGAATCACCATCATGAGCAATATCATCATTGTAATCAACTGCCTCAGCATCATCGTCATCATCGGCAGCAGCATCCCCATCGTCATCGACATCACAAGCATAGGCATCGTCGTCATCGTCTTCGTCTTTGTCAACGACGTCGTCATCATCATCATCGTCATCACCACCACCAGCCTCGTCATGCTGATCATCATCATTATCATACTCACAACCATCACCACCATCATCATCACCATCATCACCATCATCACCATCACCATCACCATCATTATCATCATTAACACCAATCAACAGCATCATCATCATCAGCATCACCAGCATCATCAGCATCATCAGCATCATCATCAGCATCATCAGCATCGTCGTCGTCATCATCATCATCCACATCATCAGCAGCATCATCATCATCATCAACATCACAATCACAATCATCACCACAATCACCATCACCATCACCAGCATCATCATCATCAGCATCATCATCGTCATCATCATCATCACCATCCTCGTCATCGTCGTCATCATCTTCATCATCGGCATCATCATCAGTATCACCATCATGTAATCAACTGCCTCAGCATCATCGTCATCACCAGCAGCAGCATCCCCATCGTCATCGACATCACAAGCATAGGCATCGTCGTCATCGTCTTCGTCTTCGTCAACGTCGTCGTCATCATCATCATCGTCATCACCACCACCAGCCTCGTCATGCTGATCATCATCATTATCATACTCACAACCATCACCACCATCATCATGACCATCATCATCATCATCATCATCATCATCATCATCATCATTACCATCACCATCACCGTCATTACCACCATTAACACCAATCAACAGCATCATCAGCATCACCAGCATCATCAGCATCATCATCAGCATCATCGTCATCATCATTAACACCAATCAACACCATTATCACCATCATCATCAACATCATCATCAGCATCATCATCATCATCATCAGCATCATCATCATCATCATCGTCATCATCATCATCATCATCATCCACATCATCGTCATCATCATCACTGACATCCTCCCCATCTTCCACCCTCCTAGCCACCTTCTGCCGGAGAGGGCCAATTAGGGGCTCCCTGGCGCCGGGCCCATGAAGAAGTGCAGCAGGAACAGGGTCGGCAGGGACAAAATCGCCATCTTGGAGTTGGACCCGAGCGGCACCTGGGGAGGCCCAGGGCCAGCTTTACAGGCATGTCCTCTTACAGCAGGAGTATGCAAAAATAGTCCATGTGGGGACGCATTTTGACTACTGTTCAATATGTTTGACTATCTCGCATCTTTTCTTCCAAGATCCGCCTGTAGGAGCACATGCCCGACCTGAGGCCAGCGGCCGCACCACCCAGCGGCGTGCGCAGAGGCGCGGCGCGGCGGCGACCGCGACCACGATTGTCGGGTCGGGCGAAAGGGGGGGAATAGCAAAGGGGGGGTCTGAGAATCAGCTCACGCAGCTGACTTTCCCGGCGCCTCCCGGCGCCGGAGGCGGCCATGCATCGAGGAATGGGCCCCTGGGTGAGGCCGAAACCAGCTGCATGCAGCAAATTTCGTAACCCCCCCTTTCCCAATCCCCCCTCTTTTTTCCCCATATCCTAAGATGGGGTTCTTGTTATTACTTGGACGCCTCCTACTCCCTCTCCCTCCTCCTCTTTCCTCCTCCCCTCCTCCTCTTTCCTCATACTCAGACCTACTCATACTCAGACTTACTCATACTCAGACTTACTCATACTCAGACCTACTCATACTCAGACTTACTCACACTCAGACATACTCATACACAGACTTACTCATACACAGACTTACTCACACCCAGACGTACTCATACACAGACTTACTCATACCCAGACTTACTCATCACAGTATTACTCATACTCAGACTTACTCATATCCAGACGTACACATACACAGACTTTCTCATACACAGACCTACTCATACCCAGACTTACTCATACACAGACTTACTCATACACAGACTTACTCATACTCAGGCATACTCATACTCAGACCTACTCATACTCAGACTTACTCAACACACATCAGATTTGGAGGATGTCTCAAGCGGGGCGCTGGTTTCAGCACCCCTAAGGGGAGCCGCCAGGGGTGGTTGCACGGGCTCGTTCGCGGCCATTTTGTGGGGATGTCTCAGGCGGTTTGCTTGTTTCTGGGCCCAACATCCTTCGCTTGGAGAGCAGATTGTGAGGATGTCTCAGGCGGGGCGCTGGTTTCAGCACCCCTAAGGGGAGCCGCCAGGGGTGGTTGCACGGGCTCGTTCGCGGCCATTTTGTGGGGATGTCTCAGGCGGTTTGCTTGTTTCTGGGCTCAACATCCTTCGCTTGGAGAGCAGATTGTGAGGATGTCTCAGGCGGGGCGCTGGTTTCAGCACCCCTAAGGGGAGCCGCCAGGGGTGGTTGCACGGGCTCGTTCGCGGCCATTTTGTGGGGATGTCTCAGGCGGTTTGCTTGTTTCTGGGCTCAACATCCTTCGCTTGGAGAGCAGATTGTGAGGATGTCTCAGGCGGGGCGCTGGTTTCAGCACCCCTAAGGGGAGCCGCCAGGGGTGTTTGCACGGGCTCGTTCGCGGCCATTTGTGGGGATGTCTCAGGCGGTTTGCTTGTTTCTGGGCTCAACATCCTTCGCTTGGAGAGCAGATTGTGAGGATGTCTCAGGCGGGGCGCTGGTTTCAGCACCCCTAAGGGGAGCCGCCAGGGGTGGTTGCACGGGCTCGTTCGCGGCCATTTTGTGGGGATGTCTCAGGCGGTTTGCTTGTTTCTGGGCCCAACATCCTTCGCTTGGAGAGCAGATTGTGAGGATGTCTCAGGCGGGGCGCTGGTTTCAGCACCCCTAAGGGGAGCCGCCAGGGGTGGTTGCACGGGCTCGTTCGCGGCCATTTTGTGGGGATGTCTCAGGCGGTTTGCTTGTTTCTGGCCCAACATCCTTCGCTTGGAGAGCAGATTTGAGGATGTCTCAGGCGGGGCGCTGGTTTCAGCACCCCTAAGGGGAGCCGCCAGGGGTGTTTGCACGGGCTCGTTCGCGGCCATTTTGTGGGGATGTCTCAGGCGGTTTGCTTGTTTCTGGGCCCAACATCCTTCGCTTGGAGAGCAGATTGTGAGGATGTCTCAGGCGGGGCGCTGGTTTCAGCACCCCTAAGGGGAGCCGCCAGGGGTGGTTGCACGGGCTCGTTCGCGGCCATTTTGTGGGGATGTCTCGGCGGTTTGCCTGTTTCCGGGCTCAACATCCTTCGCTTGGAGAGCAGATTGTGAGGATGTCTCAGGCGGGGCGCTGGTTTCAGCACCCCTAAGGGGAGCCGCCAGGGGTGGTTGCACGGGCTCGTTCGCGGCCATTTTGTGGGGATGTCTCGTCGGCCCTGTCGCCCACGTGGACGCGCTATTGTAGTCGACCGCTCATGAACAGACGCTCACCACGGCATGACATAAAACATGAGATGCACATATGGGGAGCTCCACGCAGTGAGTATTTTTTTTTTCGTCCGACCCGAGATCGTCGTCGGCGTCGTCGGCATCGCGGGCGTCGTCGACGTGTCGCCGGCGTCGCCACGGCTCTCCGGGCCCCGACGGTGTCGTGGAAAAAACTCCGCGCGGCGGTGCTCGCACTGCGCTCGGCCTCTCGAGGCCCTCACCGGACCCAAAAAACCGCAACACGGACTCGGGGTGCAGAGCCGCCCCTGGGGAAACGACCACAAAATTATCCCAGTGCGACCCTACCTAGGAGTTGGAGCCTCTGGGAAAGCAACATGCTGCGCAATGCTATGCTGGGCTAGGCTAGGCTATGCTATGCTATGCTATGCTATGCTGCGCTATGCTATGCTATGCTATGCTATACTTTTGCTTTGCCTTCGCTTTTGCCTTCACTTTTGCCTTTGCTTTTGCTTTTGCTTGGCACCCAGGGAGCGCAACTGGGGAAACCGCGCGTTTGCTTTTACCTTTGCTGTTGCTTTTGCTTGGCTCCCAGGGGACCAGGGGAACCGCCCGGGGCGATTTCCACTGCCCGGCCCCTTTAAGTCAAGAAAGTAAAAACCCTTCTAGGCAGAGCCTAGGTAGGGAACAAACAGGCAAACAAACACAAACACACAAAACAAAAAAAACTAAACAAACAAAGCACAAACAAAACAACATAAACAAAAACAGGCACAAAACAACTACAACACAACAACACAAAGACATGGAAGACAAGGACAGAAAGGCACCGGACCTCTGGACGACTCCGGAGGCTCTCGTCTCGGGAGACGCGGGGCCCTCCCAGGGAGGAGCCGGACCAGGGGCCGCGCCCGAGCGGAGCTTGGCCCGAAGGTGGCGGAACGAGGGGCGGAGGGGGTGGCGGGGGCATTCTCAGGAGGCAGGGGCCTGTAGCACCCGCTCCTCCATCCCCCCCTCGTCCTCGGACCTCCCTCCAGACCCTCGTCCTCGTCCTCATGTTCCGCCTCCTCCTCCTCCTCCTCCTCCAAAGCGTTCTCATGATCATGATCATGATCATGATCATGATCATGATCATGATCATGATCATGATCATGATCATGATCATCATCATCATCATCATCATCATCATCATCATCATCATCATCATCATCATCATCATCATCATCATCATCATCATCATCATCATCATCATCACCTGGCTTGTCCCGGCCCTGCTGCCCCATCCTCCCCCCTGCCCCTCCACGTCCATCTCCCCAGCCTCTGGCATACTCCCCGGACCTCTCCACGGGTGCGTTCTCACCAGGATTCCGAGGCGAAACGGACTATTGCGACGAGGGCACGGTGGCGGCATCGGCAGCGCCTCCTCCTTTGCTCCTCCTCCCCCCCCATTCCAGTGCGTTTTCTCCTCCCCCCCTTCTTTTTCACCTCCCCCTCCTTTCCCTCCCAGCGTCTGGACTTCACGATCCTCGGAATGCGGCGGTCGCTTTTGGGCCCCGCCCAGGCACCGACACCCCGCCTATCTGAAGCTGCCACGGCCTGCGCGAGGAGGGGCAGGGAGAGAGGACGAGAAAGGACGAGGAGGAGGAGAACGAGGAGGAGGAGAACGAGGAGGAGGAGAACGAGGAGGAGGAGGAATCGGGAGGAAACGGGAGGATGGAAAAGCGAGGGTGAGGGATAATTGTTTACCATGATGCCTTTGGAAGGGAAAACATCAAGTAAAACCTTGTGCAGCCCCACGGGCCGCAATCATCTGCCTGAAAGCCTCGAGCCCTGGGAGGACATCGCTGCCTGGGGCTCGTTGCCCAGGCTGCACGGGGAAAACCATGCGCTTTGGGCAGGCTGCACAGGTCTGTAGCAACCTGTCGCAATCCGTCTCGGAGATGTGGGCATCCCCAAGTTCGGGGCCTTTCGACTCTGGGCGGAGGCTTTGGAGCATGCGACCGGGGCGACACCGCGAGACCGAGGATGCAACATCGCCTCGACACGTCCTCTCCGGCTGTCGGCTTAAGCAGCCCATACTGTAAGCACCAAACCTCCGACAATAAACAACACGGGGGCCACTGGCGATGCGACAGCGTACTAGCGCGTGGAGGAGCCGGAAGGAAGGCGAAATTAAGTCGCTTCTCTGGGCGCCCCAACATATCAAGTCTTGCAGGACACATGCTGTACATGAAAGTCACTGGGGCCCCAAGGACACCCATCCACGCAAGCCATCTACCAGCGCCAAAAGTTCGCGGGCGCGGGATCGTGTTTTTTTTCGGGAAACGGGACACAAGGAAACACCGGGATAACAGCACCCATCACGCGGGCTACAACATGAGCCATACCGATCAGGGCCTCCCACACATTCCGACCTCCAGGACCCTCTTGCGCGTGCACCTGCGAGCTTCCTTAGCGAGGCAAAAACATCGGGCTGGCTCGACAAGTTCTCCTTTCCTCGGGAGGGAGCATGTTGATGATTTCCATACTTCGTTGCGCAGGCGCGCGAGTAACATTGCCAACAGACTTCGCACTTTCGAAATGCCAGAAACCCCGTTGGAGACCCGCGTGCACGTTCCACGAACGCACCTGCTGGGAAGGTGGCTGGTTGTGCAATCGAACAGGGTCCCGACGGCTGGAGAACACATTAGCCTTCTGCCACATCATGAAACTTATGCGGACGATGGTTATCAGCTCGGCAGCCTGATGGGGTATGCGGCAAGCTCGGCCAGACAGGGCCACGGAAACGTGCAACTACCTCCCCAGTGCCCTCGGCAAAACAGGCTCCCGCAGAGGTCGCCTTCGCACGCTCGAACACCAGGGGAGTCTCGCAGGATCCGTCGATGGCGACGTCGCAGATTTGGTCGAAGATTGCAGAATCGACGAGGACCTGGCCCTAGGACCTTGATCCTGAAGTACAATCGGCAAACCCGGCGGATAGAACGTCGGCGCAGGGCGGGAAAGGATGAGGCGAGTCCACACGCAACGTTCCGAGCACGCGTGCACTGACCCCTGAATCAAATCAACATCGGCAATTTCTCCCCCAGCAGCTTTGGCATCGGGGTGCGCGCGCACGCGAAGTTTGTGACGGAGGCTAATTCTGGCCCCGCACATAGGACACGGGCAGCCCGAAGCGTAGCCTGCATCCGAAAGCCAGTCGCTTGTGAAGACAGCATAGCAAACAAACAGCTTGCCACTGCATACTCCTACTTACGCGTGTACTCCTTCGGCCCGCAATTCATTCCGCGCGCAAAGTCAACGCGCCCGCGCGCGCCATGCGAATCATGCACCGCAGAGGCCACGGGGCGCCCATGCTCACGTTGAACCGCACCCGCAGATTGATGAGGGTAGGCGCTAGGCACAACAATGACAATTCATCGACACGATCATCATCCCAATTCGAAGCATTCTTCGCTTCCCACCCAGTGCGTCTCAGCGATCATATAGCGCGGTGAGTCTGCAACTTGTCTCGCCCGACCTGAAACATGCCCGGTAGATCGCGCGCCGTAGAAAGAGAGCGCTCCGGCGCGACTGCTGCCCGCTAGGCTGCCTGTGCCCACTGGGAAGCTGGAGCCGCGCTCGCGTCTGCCTTCGGGTCGCCATGGATAACGCGCTTCACAATGAGGGGCGCGCCACGGTGCGTTGGGGGGCGGCAGCTGAGCGAAGTAGCCCATCCCGTAGTCGCCCACCCCCAAGACTGAACTGGGCTGAGCTCTTTGCATCACGTAGTCGCCCATCGCCATACTGAAGCACTGAAGCAGCTGAGCTGAGCTCTTTGCGTCGCGTAGTCGCCCATCCCCAAGACTGAACTGCCGTGCGATAAAGCGGTTTTGAGCCCTGCAGCACGCACGATGCCCACCCGGTGCTTGCAATTCACAAGCCATCGTCGGAGAGGCCGCGCACGCAAATTTCGACGTCGCATCTGTCGAGAGCGGCCCCATTGTTGACGAAGGCCTCCCTTGCCAGACATCGACTGTGCCGGTGCGAAATAGACTGAGGTTGGCCGCCAAGTGGGTCGTCGCCCCCGCTGGATGCCCGCGACGCTGTAGCCGATGGGCAACAGCCTGAGCTAGAGAGTCAGTGCAGGCTTTCGGGGTGGCCTCAGAATCGGGAACACCTGCCTTCAACTCGCTCTTGCAATTTGAAATACGGAACAGCGTCGGGTAGCGTTCGCAATGGCGACAGCCAAATTGTCGGGAAGCGCATCGCATACTCGTCGAAAACACCGACGGCGTCGGCATTGACCAAGACACCGTTGAAAACGTCGCCTGCCGGCAGCCCACTAGAGTCACAGCACAGAACAGTATGGGACGCCGACCCGAGCCTGACTGGCCTCGGAAATCTCCACTGGTTGCACAACATCTGGACAATCACCCCAGGGAGCCCCCAAGCATATGCCCTCTGCTCAAGTGCGCCCAAGTCAGTGGGTCCATAATACCCCTTACCATGCCACTGGGCACCGAAAACAGCTGCGTCCTCCGTCGCAGCTGCATCAACCAGGACGCCCAGGCCCACGCGCGCGACTCCGCGCTGTCACCTGCCCCCAAAACCAATTGAGATCGCTCCGTAGCAGCGCGAGAAAAGGTCGAGCTGAGATATGCGCGCGCGCCCCTAGACAAACAAAACCTGCCATCAACAGGATGGCGCGATACCCGCCAGCCAGCGCGTCAATAGGAGGAAAGAGCACTCATATGTAGTGCCACCGATAAGTCCCAATCTATCGACCGCCTCGCACAGCGGGCTGAGCTTGGAAACGCCGGCGCCCCCGAGCAGACACATGCGCCCCGGGTGGAAGCCGTCGGGCGCGGGCGCCGCGCGCTGACCAGGCCGTCGCGAGGCGCAGAGAATCTGCCTCGCGCCGAAAGGACCTCCAGTGCATTCCCGGAGTAAGTGCCAGGCGCCTCCTCAAACGCGCTTGGACACTACACTTGCTGCAAACCCGCAGTCTGGCGCATATGCCCGGCCGACCCCTCGATGGGCCCCGCCGCGCCATTCTGGCCAAGACTGCGCGCGTGACTTGGCCGCATCAGATGCTTCCGCCTCGAACCTAGATGACGCGGCTGCCGCGATGCGCGGCGCCCCCCCGCCACGGGCGAGGCTTGACCGCCGGGAAGGCGCGCGTCAACTTTCGCATGGCTCCAACATGTGCGCCCAACAGAATGCCCGGGCCACCCCCGCAATGACCTCCCGCGGCGCAGTCATTGCCCAAGGCCGCTGTAGCCGGGCCATGCCGTGCTGATGGGTCCTTCCAGATAGCCAAATCAAACTCGCGCCGCGCCCGGGGGAGCCCGCAACCCAAGAGGAATCCGCGCGCCATCCGAAGCCGTATCCTTGCGCCCCACAGCTGGCACCCACCATCTGGAAATAGGCAGCCCGTCGCAGAACTCTCGAGCGGCCTGTCCAGAGCATCGGCGAGCTCCGTCCCAGCACACTCCAGGAAAGCACCCCATGCCATGTCGAGCTTCTCCCGCGCTGATGCGACAGGACCGAACTGGGCAACGCCACCTGCCACTAGCTGCCAATCTTGCCTCGACAGAAGCCCCGGGTTCAGGCCTAGGTCAGGCAGGTGGGAGACCTGGAAGCGCCGCGCGCGCACTGAACACGAGCTACCAAAACTGAAGCACATCAGGCCGAAGGTGCAATCGCAGCGGCACTGGAAGACCTCCGCGCCATGGCGCACAAAAAACTTACTCGCTCAACAATTCACACGATGACCGAAGTGGGCACGAAGAAATCAATCTCAGAGGCGGCGTCGCCATCACACGTGTGGGCAAACAGGGGCCATGAGTATCAGACCTGCTTGACGCGTAGAACCAGATTGCTCGATCGTCGCCGCCTGCATGTTCCAATATGCCCCCGCAAGAGCAGAACCAGCAGACCTCGAAATCACATTACCCACAATGGTGAGCATGTGCATGTTGAAAATCCCCAGCACACCCCCGCATGGGCATGAGCCGGGAACACCACCATAAGAGGCGAACCGAGACTGCCGATGATCGTGGATACCAGCCTTCCTTTGACGAGCTCGCAACCGGTAGGGCTTCACCAGATGCCAAACTGCTGCCGAACAAAGCTTCACCTGATGAGTGCGAAGCTCGTGCGCAGTTGAAGAAGGGGCTGCCCAACACTCAGCACCCTAAACCGCTGGCATCACGCTGAGGGTCTGGAGCCGCTTGCTGGCCAGTCCTTACCTCCTGCGCACATACAACCACTGACGTGGAGGCACGTAGCCAGTCCATGAGGGTATGTCTGCAATTTCAATTGAACGAACGTTTCAGGACATTGCACGTCACCTGGCACCTTCACCACTTGATTTGGCCCTCAGCTACTTGACTTCTCCCGCCCTTGAGCTGAGGTACAACAAATCCCTCTGCCGAAACTGGGAGCCCACTAAGCAGCGGCATGCGGTCGGGAAAATGGCGGCGCCGAATATGGGGCTGCTGGCGTAACGTTTCGGGACATTGCCCGTCACCTGGCACCTTCGCCACTTGATTTGGCCCTCCGCTACTTGACTTCTCCCGCCCTTGAGCTGAGGTACAACAAGTCCCTCTGCCGAAACTGGGAGCCCACTAAGCAGCGGCATGCGGTCGGGAAAATGGCGGCGCCGAAGATGGGGCTGCTGGCGTAGCTGGGGCAGGCACAACATGCACAACTGTTGCTATCTGAACCCCTACTGCCGCGATGCTATCCTCGAAAATCCTGCCTTCACCTGC